TGAATTGTAATGTAAATATCTGATATGCAGGATGTATTTTCATTGTTACAAATTGAACATAATTAAAGCATAGTGATTAATCACAAAACCATATGTAATTATATATTGTGAAATTTTTATTTCTAATTACAAATAAGTGAAAATTTGTCTTAAAGCATGGTGTAGCATGAGTAACAGTCTTCATGCCGGGTACTCGTATTTGGGCGTATCTGCATGTAGGCGGACCCCCCTGGAGACGGATAGAGGAGCGGGGTCTCTGTTCCTAAGACCATCGGAAATATGTGGAGGGTCGGACTATAGTTTAAAAAATAAAAAAACTCTGAACAAATTCCTATGCACACTGCATATATCTTATTTTGAAGTAAAAAACGAAACGGGGCAAAAACACCCGGCGGCCCGGATAAATGTTCTCGGCGGGCCGCATGTGGCCCACGGGCCGTAGTTTGAGGACGCCTGATCTATGCAATGTCTTTGAGGCCAGCGAGAGTCCTACGTGCTGGGCTTTGATGCCCCCTGGATGGCCACCCAGAGAGGTGTTTTTCCTCTGAGAAATGCAAGTACAAATCTGTGTGCTTGTACTTCCCCCACTGTCTGCAAGGACGAAGAGAGAGGAATGGCCCGTCCCTTCCTGGAGGCCTCGGGCTCATTTGTCCCCTTTCGTCAGGGGACAAGGCTTTCACGTTCTCCAAGGACTCTGACACTTCAGAGTGAAAAGATTCCACACGTTTATGATGTGATTTAAAGTTCACAGTATCTTTTATATTCCCTCATTCAAGTCTTCACACCAGCCACGTGGCCAGACGTCAGTGCGGGGCTCGGCCAGGAGTTGTTGCTTAATAAATGGCAGAAATGAGGCCCAAGACCTGGACCCTTGGTTCCCAAATGTAATGCTTCAAACCCCGTACCTCGGACTGTCTTCTAAGTGCTAGTCCCATTTGATGGCAGATAATGGCTGTATTTCTTCTTGATCCTTCAGGTCTTTCTTAGAGCACGAGGTGATGGTACTGAGACATGCATGGGATGGTTAAGGGTAAGAGGTGGCATTGAAAATATCAGTGCAAATAATACACCTTCTAGGGGACCAACAACTAACTTCCAAAGGAGGAGAAGCTTACCCAGTTCAAGGTGTGTCTACAGATTGACAGATGGCCCACCTAAATAGAGAAACAAAATAACCAAAAAATGGTTACTTTTTAAATGCTCCCTGAATATAAAAGCAGTGAACGTAGAACAATTTGGAAATCACATTTAGTCAGCAATTTACTTTAGTGACCATTTTCTCCAGTGAGGGGCAGGGAAGTGAAAATTTGACATTTGTGTGTCTTGAAGACGTGCAGGAGCGTCTCTGTCTGGGGCTCTATTTTCATTCTACCCTGATGACTCAAGGGATTGGGAAAGCATGTCGAAAGCCAGGGTACGGAGCCCAAGACCAGTATCGTCAGGCAGCTCGTGAATGGCCTGGTTCTTATTTTGACGAGGGGCTTGCCTTTCTTCTTCTTTAGCTTTTGTAGCTGCCATAGCGTGTGGGTTTTATTAATATTGGTGTCCTGGCTCTGAGCCTCCTTGATAGTGTGAAAAATGTTTCTGTTTACTGCGGAAGGAATCTTGCTTTTGAGAGTGATTAATCACCACACGGCACATCAGTGTGCCTGCCATTCACTTGTCATAGCTCCGGTTTGTAATGCAGGCTTCCTCCTATGGCGGAGAGGGTTGTGAGTGTAGACGGTATTTTCCGTGCCGGTTTACCCACTGCTAGTAAAATGAATTTACTAAGACCAGCCTTGTCCTGGCTCAAGAGGCCATTTGGGCAGTCATTGGCCCAGAGGTTTCTTCCGCATGAAGGAGCAGCAGCCATATTGAGAGCAATCTTGATCTGCAAGCATGAATGTAGGCTTAAGAGGAGGAGGAGGCGGTGGAGGAGGAGAAGGCTATTGGTTGCTATCGAACAGACTCCGACTCATGTCAACCCTGTGTGTGTATGCCAGGAAGCGTCTTTCCTCCTCGGACGCCTTCTTCAGTTCCCTGATTGACACCTCTTCCCTGTCCGCAACATCCCCTACACCTGGGAATGGAAGGGGGAGAGCTGGATGGGTCTGCCCGGAGGACGCAGACCTGGCTACACCTGCCCCGAGCTCCCTTCTGGACACGCTGCCTGTGGTGCACACAGTGTCCCGGGAGGATGCATGTAGACAACTTCTCAGCTGCTGGTTCTCGGCCCTCTGCTGTCTGGCTGTCAAATGTGCAAAGACACCTCTGGGTGGTGGGTTCCCGAGGAGCCTGGGTGGGATTCGCGGAAGCTGCCTCGGGATTTCAGTGAGCCCTTCGTGGGCAGCACGCTAGCCCTCACCACGTTCATGTGCAGCAGAGAGCCCAGTGCCTGGGAGGCGGTGGGCTTCAGGCTGCGGGGCAGGTTCTGCATCAGCCCTATGATTCATCTTGGCCGTTCGGGTCACGTGTCTCCTGCTCAAATTTCTCTTCCTACAAGTGACTAAGGTGGGACCAGAAGGTGCCATTTCACCCCACTTCATGCCACTGGATCCTGGCTCGGCCCCCTTCTCATCTGAGAGGGAAGCCCCCTGTGGCTTCCCAGAGAAAGGCCCTGGTCTGCTTGGCAGTGCCGTAACCATGCTGTGCACTCCACTTTAAGTGAATGTGGCTGGAGGCTAGGCGGTGGTTAGAGGTCCCAGCGTGGGCGTAAAGAAGTCATTCTCTGGAGAGGAGTCCTGACGGGTACAGCCTGCAGCTAAAGGGCTTTGGGGTGATATCCACTGGCTGTCCCAGCTCTGGACAGAGGCTGGACTCCCTTTTTTCCACCTCACTAGACTGTGTGCTGGCTCTGTGCCATCGTGTCACACAGGAAGTATGTGAGAGCTGCCTAGAGACACACAGGTGGAGACGCAGGAGAGGGAGGCTCTGGGTTCCCTGGGAGCCAGAGAGAGGAGCAAGCACTGGTATGTGCTCTGTCACCTCCCTGCAGTGGACTTTTGAGAGTGAGAAGCCAGGACACTTGCTTAGGTCGCCCCCCCAGCTCTCCTGTCTCCTTTAGTGGGCCAGGAAGCAAACAGCGCTGGGGCTCAGCATCCCTCAGAGCAGTGGTTCTAAACTAGGGTGCCTGGACCAGCTGCAGCCACATCCCCTGGGAGCTTGATGAAAACACGAATTCTTGACCCACACTTTGCCACCTTCATTTTCCAGGTGATAGGATGTACCCTCTGTGCTGGGCACTACACAGCTGTGAGCTAGGCAGGCGGCCCAGGGAGACTGCCCGGCCTGGGCTGTTTCTCATCCCTACAAGGCTCCAGAGGCTGAAGCTGGGGCTCTGCAGGGTGGGGTGAAGCTGGAGGGGTGAGCAGGCCCCCAACTGGTCCACAGTGAGTCGGTCTCTCTCTCTGTGTCCTGCCTTGTTTACTTGCTGCTCCGCCACCTGCTCCTGATTGGACCGGGATGGGATTTACTCCGGGATCATGAGAACCTCGCCACAGCAAATATGTAAGCTGTTCTAGTTGGGTAGCAGAGCGCATCGACTTGCCTGTCCTGGTTTCAGACACATTGTGCATTCTGTACTCTGAGCGGCTCTAGGGGATAATTCGATCAACATCCTCTGGGGCGGGAAGCGTTGTTTGCTGTAAGAGCCGGGTCCTACCCATTTCAGCGTGTTGCTGCCATTATGGACAGTCACTCGGCATTCTTTACAGAGTGATAATCGCTGCATCTGTTTCGGACAAGAAGGCTGGGCTCCAGAGCCGCTTCCTGCGGAGGGCGGGGGCCCCGGAGTGGGCAGGCTGGTAGAAAGGGGGGCCAGTGTGCTGATGTTTCTCTCCTTTCTTCCAGGAATTACTCCTTCTATGTCCTTGACAACCAGAACCTGCAGCAGCTGTGGGACTGGGAACACCGAAACCTGACTATCAAAGAGGGGAAAATGTACTTTGCCTTCAATCCCAAACTGTGCGTTTCCGAAATCTACCGCATGGAGGAAGTGACCGGGACTAAGGGACGCCAGAACAAAGGGGACATAAACACAAGGAACAACGGAGAACGGGCCTCCTGTGAGTGGATGCCATGGCGGCTGGCCGGAGCCCCTCCTGCATGGCTTTCCCGCCTTGCTTTAGGAGGAGCGGGGCTGGCGTGGGGCGGGGCTGCGGCGCGGCCCCCGCAATAGCCCTCTGCTGGTGCATGCCTATCTCCAATCAGTAGTGGCGCAGGCTCAGGACATTGTGTGTCTGCACCAGTGCCAGTGCTCAGCACTCATACGTAACTTCCCATGCAGCTTTTAAGGGGTCGGTGACGGTATACAGATAGCCAATGCCCTCTTATATGCAGGCATACCACTAGGTGGGTTTTCAAAGGTGCGCCAGCACTTGCCTGTCCTAAGAGGGAGCTCTCTGCACCCTGGGTGCCCCCAGGAGAGATGCTGGGGAGAGGGAGGAGGGAGCCCAGCGATTAGCACAGTCCACGCAGGCCACCAGATTTCTGCCCTTTGGACAGGGCTTTTACCCTAACAGGGCAAACGTGGTCTGCGTTGAGCTTGCTTTTGAAATGTATAGCAGTCTCAGTATAATGTGTCGCCAGTTCTACCAGTGAAACAGCAATATACGTTTACTCTCAGGTCTGAGATAGAAAAGTACATTTCTCTCTTAACCTTGTGTGAAATTGACTTCTTTGTTGTCGTTTTAATGTTGTGGCTTTGTTTGCCTGCCTGATAAATTTTCTGTCGTCACCATTAGCTTTTTAATAAAGAAAAAATAGTTATTTATATAATCGAGGGTAGTTTGCGCGGATGCGCACGCACGCGCACAAGTACGCACACGCACACATTTGGGGAGACTCAAACTTCCCACTTGGGGTTAGCAACTGAACTCATTCAGCATTAGACTTCTCCACTGGCTGAGTGCAGTTGAAATGCCAGTATCTCCAGCAAATTGCCTTCCAGACCTCTCTCCGACACCTGGAACCCAAAGTCTTCTCATTTGGAGCTGCTTGTAGTCTCGCAGCCTCGCCTCCTGTGTGTGGAGCAGGATCAGGCACTTAAGGAGGGTGGAAGGCAATTTGCTGGAGATACTGCCATTTCAACTGCACTCAGCCAGTGGAGAAGTCTAATGCTGAATGAGTTCAGTTGCTAACCCCAAGTGGGAAGTTTGAGTCTCCCCAAATGTGCCTTAGAAGAAAGGCCTGGTAATTTACTTTCAGAACATTTGTTACTGAAGGCCCATGAAGCACAGTGCTGTTCCGACATGCGAGGAGTCACCGAGTGCCGAGTCTTCTTGCCAGCCACTGTTTGATTTTTGCACAACACACTGAGCTCCTCGAAAGCTACCTACATAGTAAAATGTGTGGGTTCTTTAGACATAAGTCACCTGAGAACAGAAGAGGGACGTGGTGCTGGGACAGGTGACTTTCAGAGGGATGAGGAGAACCCATAATATTTGTCTCTGATACCTGTGCCTCTGTGCCCCAGGTGAGAGTGATGTGCTGCATTTCACCTCCACCAACACGTGGAAGAATCACATCATCATCACTTGGCACCGGTACCGCCCTCCTGACTACAGGGACCTCATCAGCTTCACCGTGTACTACAAGGAAGCGTGAGTCCCTGCCTGTGCTGATGTCCTCTGGCCATCGGGCTGCAAGCGGGTCCATTCACTCGCTGATGCTCCTGTACAGAGTCTGCTCGTCCAGGGAGAACAATGCTGGGTGTCCTGGCTTTACTCTCTGGTGTCCGCCCAGCTGCCCTTTGATGGTCATCGTGGCTGGTGGCCGCCACAAGTGTAGAAGAGTTTGCTTCAGGCCTTTCCTTCTGTAGCGAATAATTGGAGAGCTTTGAATAAAATAAGTAGAGTGGGAAAGGCTTGCTTTCCAAAGAATCAGGTCATTCCAAATTTCTAATGGTGGAAATGCCCCCCCCCCCAACAAAACCCTTCATGGCACCCTGCTGACCTTCTAGGCTGCCTGTCCTTCACCTTATTTCAGTCTCTGTCTGGGGAGATCTCTAGACAGGAAGGAGAAGGGAGGCCGACCAAGTCCACTGCCGGGGAACTTCCACGACTTCTCGCAGTGACTGCTGGCCGGCTCTTCTCAGATCATCTCCTTTTGAACCCCACTCTGCTTCCCTTGTTCCCAGTGTCCAAGCGATTTCCTTCGTGTACTTCGTCTTGCCTAGGTGATACTTGAATGCCACGGGTCTTTTCCTGGGTGCTCGGCGTCTGTAGAGCAGAATACGATGTCACCAGTAGCAGGATCTTGTATTGTACCCCTGTTGCAGCTAGAGCCCTGTGGAGGGTCGTAACCAATGAGGAGGAGAAGGCTCGTGATGATTAGCCACTCAGCCCTCATACTTAGGGAGCCAGCTCGCCATCTCCTATCATGGCGTCAGCCAGCTCACATTCATGTCTGCTCTGGGATCCCATGGCCATTGGCAGCCGAGCCCTGTCATCAGATAAATGTAGAATCTCTACCCAACTGTGTGTGTAAAACACCATTTTCTATTTGATGGTCTTACCAATGTGTTGGCAGTGTAGGCTAGTAATTTTACTAAGGAGTTGATGAGCGTTGAGACAATCTGGAAATGGAATATTTAAATATGATAAGATATATAAACATCATTTGTGAAAAATTTAATATTAGAAGCAACTTCTGTTATTCTCTAGCAAAGTGGTCTTTCTCCAAAAGTTATCCTATATCAATATATGATGTTGGCATTGACCGTGCTTGAGTGCCAACGTAGATAGAGAGGAAAATCCCATTTGTGTATATTATTAAGGCGTAGTGCATTATCAACTCCAGTAACTGTAGAACTCGCTTCTCCTGCCACCGCACTCACCTCTACAGTGCATAAATGTGGTGAAATGTTCTAGAAAGCCGAACTGATTGGTCATATTATTTAGAATCCCCACTGTTGAATCTGTGACATGCTCGGCCACTAGAGAAAGGTTCTGAGAGCTGACGTCGACATCCTGGAACATTCTCCGAGTCTCGCTGGTTATCTTTCAGCCCCTATAAAAACGTGACCGAGTACGATGGGCAGGACGCCTGTGGGTCCAACAGCTGGAACATGGTGGACGTGGACCTCCCTACCAACAAAGATGTGGAACCAGGCATTTTACTGCACAGCCTGAAGCCCTGGACTCAGTACGCTGTTTATGTCAAGGCGGTGACTCTGACCATGGTGGAGAACGACCACATCCGCGGGGCCAAGAGTGAAATCTTGTACATTCGCACCAATGCATCAGGTATCCACCCTGGACCAGCCCCTCTGAACCCCATATTGCTTTTCCAGCTCAGTTGGTTTGCTTATCGCAGGCTATAGTTGGGAGATCGGTGATTAAATATGTTCGTTGCTTCTCTGTCCTGGTCCATTCTGATTTTTATATACCTTTTAGATCAGCAGGCAATAATGCTGCTGCTGCTGCTGCTGCTAGTTGCCATCTTGCCGTTCCAAATCATGGTGATCCCACTGATCACAATGCAAAATTGTGCCAAGTCCTACCACATCCTCACAATTGCTCCTATGGTCAGGTCTGATTGTGGTCCTCCTGTCAGCCTGTGTCACAGAGGTCCTCCTATGGGAGGGTCCTAAGGGATGGTTATATAATTGATGGGAAGAAATCAGAAATGGGCAAAAATTTTCAGGTGACCCTCTCCTCCACGTAGCCAGATCTGAGTGGGAAAGAGAGAATGTATTCTTTCACCAACTAAAATAGTCTTGGGACATGCAGGCCCACCCAGCCCAGCCCAACCACAGACACCTCCCTGTGTAACAAGGTGGGCGGTATCTTAGCCTAGAGGTCGCTGAGCTCATTGGGAGAACAGGGCTGAGGGCAGGTGAGGGGAGTGACTGTCCCCTGAGGGGGGAGAACAGTAGCAACATGTCTGCTCCTCTAGATAAAGCTGCCAACTGGCTGTTAACTAGCCATGTGCTTGTGAGAGGGATCATTCAGGTAGCACTATAACGGGGGATGTTGTGGGGATGTTTTTTAATGAAGAAAATGTAGCTGGTGCTCTTTTCCAATTCACAAATTTGCAGGTCTCCCATCATCCAGAACCCTGGCCTCCCAGGCTTCCTCAATCTTGAGTACACAAAATGTGTCCGCGTAGAATTCTCAACCCGGTCTTCGGTTTCCCACAATCTCCCACTCTTGCTGGCCCTCTTTCCCTAATCATGATGTTCAATAGTAGCTTGTCCCTCCTCCCGATGACACATCTAAAGGAAGTGACTCTGTGGTGCTCCATAAGACTCGTAGTCACTAATTCTCAAAATAGATCTCCAGGTCTTTCTTCCTGGTCTCTCGTAGTATGGTCCTTCTGCTAAAACCGACCCACCACGATGACCATGGCGATACTTGACATTACTGGCATAGCTTCCAGCAATATGGAAACGATCACAGTATGACAGCTGACAGACAGGTGGTGGCAAGATGCAATGCGTTTTTCTTGCTCTTCTGACCATTTTTAACAGCTGTGCGTCATGCTGGTCTCTGAACGTGGTTTCCTCTTCTCTCATCTCTGTCTGCCCTTTGCTGATGAGCCCGGGCCCATGCACGCTTAGTTGGTTTCATCGGAAGGCATGGTCAGCACACAGCCCTTCTCACACCTGAACCGCTGTGGGCCAAACCATCATGGTCAGTGTGCCTCTGAGCCCACATCGCCCACTGGTTCTCCAACTGCATTTGTAGTCACTAGGGATTCACAGAGGTGGAAAACTACAGCCATACCAGTCATCACAGGCATTGCCATTGAGCCGATTCCAACTCATAGTGAACCCTACGTGGCTTTCATAAGCTGTAAACCGTTATTGGAGCACACAGCCTCCCTGGTCTCCCGAGGAGCGGCCGCCGGTGGTTTGGAATCACCAGTGTTGCCATTCGTAGCCCATCACTTCACCAACAGTGCCACCTCTTCAAAATACTCACTGATGAAAACGTCTCTCCTCCCTTTGCACATACCTCCATTTTATAAAGCACTTCTGGATTAGGAAATGATAAAAAGACATTTGTGAATATTTTCCAAACATATAGAATTTGGGTGCACTAGGCGACCCCAGTGGGTGGGATGAATGGTTCACATGCTTAGTTACTGAGGGGTTAAACGGACCCAGATGAGCCCCTCAATAAAGGCTTGGCAAGATCCTTCTGGAACACCAGCCACACCTCTGCCACGACAACGGTGCGGCTGCTGTGACTTGGAGCCCGCGCGGTGGCATCTGGTTGGGGCACATTCATCATCCATGCCTACGTCCGCTCTCGGGGTGGGTTTGGGGTTAAGTCACGCTGCACCAGATGTGTTACTTGGCTTGTCAATAGAATTCCTTTTTCTGCAAATAGAGTCTATTCCTTGAAGCCAGGGTCTAAGTAAGTATCGTTGAATTTTTAGACTGCTCCTCATAGTCGTAACGTCATCGTTGCACTCAAGCGGGACTATGGTCTCAGTGCGTTCCCAGGCCCTTTCCCGACAGCACTTTCTCCTCCCACGCCTCTTGCATGCACAGGCGCACTCGGGCGCACACACTCTTCTCAGTCTTAATTCCCTCTCCCCTTTCACGCTGCCACCTTACTGTGTTGATTAGAGATTTACACGAAATGGAAACCAGGCACGTTTCGTGAAGATTTCTAAAATTAAACATATTTTTAAAGGGCAGTTGTCTACATATAACCTCCTCCCTGGGGGATGGACAACAGAAAAGTGGGTGAAGAGAGATGTCAGACAGTGCAAGATATGACAAAATAATAATTTATAGATTATCAAGGGCTCATGAGGGAGGGGGTAGTGGGGAGGGAGGGGAAAAATGAGGACTTAATGCCAGGGGCTTAAGTGGAGAGGAAATGTTTTGAGAATGATGAGGGCAATGAATGTACAAATGCGTTTTACACAATTGATGTATATATAGATTGTGATAAGAGTTGTATGAGCCCCTAATAAAATGATTTTAAACAGATAGGACATAATAATAATAATTTATAAATTATTAAGGACTCATAAGGGAGGGGGGAGCAGGGAGGGAGGGGGGAAATGAGCTGATTCCAAGGGCTCAAGTGGAAAGCAAATGTTTTGAGAATGATGAGGGCAACAAATGTACAAATGTGCTTGACACAATGGATGTATGTATGGATTTTGATAAGAGTTGTACGAGCCCCCAGTAAAATGATTTAAATTAAAAAAAATAAAAGGGCAGTTGTAATAAATAAGAAGAAGTAGGTGTTTCTATTAGCTGTAGGTTTTACATCATCTGCCCTCCCCTTGGTAGTGCTCCCACAATCCTTTCTTATTTGCAAGTATGAAATCATCATTTTCCTCGGAATTCCCTGAAATAAAAATTCTAAAGAAGAATCCTGGCATTTAGTACTAAAACAAGGTTAGTGTTTCATTTCATGTTACCATGTTCTGATCATCTTATGTAGTAGGTCAAACCTGCAGCCTCATTGATTTGCACAGCGTGTCCCTAGAAAACCATTAAGAGTATTCATTTCATTTTTTTAAGAAAATTAACACAATTTCCATTACCTTCCGTAATGTTAATGGCCACTTATTTCCCATTTCAAAACTAACAGCCAAAAAAGAAAATTTTTATAATAGAAGAACAATCTTGTTCTGCACATAAACACCCCCCACACATACCACAGACGATACACACCCACTCACATAGCAGTCATCTCACATACAACACCATACACAAATGCATTATACCTGCACACCGTAGGCCACATGCCTATTTTGCAAATTTATCTGACCAAGCTTTCTTACATTGTACCAAAGTAGTGCTGTAGACTTTAAGAGTCAATTTTTTTAAGAGTCAAGTCAAGTTAAGACGTGAATACAGAACATGTAACAATTCCAATGTCTCCCTTCCCATACTTCAAGCCTTCTCTAGGAGGTTCTATTCATCTAGGAAAGTCCGATGCCGGGTATAGTGCCAGCTGGGTTTGGGGAGATAGGTGTCGTGTCATGTGAGGATTAACAGCTGGATTTTAGACTCGGTCTACTTCTAAGACGCACTCCATCTCTCTCCAGTGCCCTCCGTTCCCCTGGATGTTCACTCAGCATCAAACTCTTCCTCCCAGTTGATTGTGAAGTGGAACCCTCCGTCCCTGCCAAACGGCAACCTGAGCTACTACATTGTGAGGTGGCAGCAGCAGCCGCAGGATGGCTACCTTTACCAGCACAATTACTGCTCCAAAGGTGAGGATGCTCATTCCCTTGGTTGAAAACTGTCAGCGCCTTAGTGGTAAGACAATCAGGTAGCCCCTCAACCCCTGACCTGGCAACCAGTCCTCCGGTGGTGTGGCCGAGAGCTGTGTCCCCTCGCAAGTATTGATTTGGGTCTCATCTCCACTCTCCATTTGTTCCTCTCTCCCGGAAGACAAAATTCCCATCAGGAAGTATGCCGATGGCACCATTGACATTGAGGAGGTGACAGAGAACCCCAAGACGGAGGTGTGTGGTGGACAGAAAGGGCCTTGCTGTGCCTGCCCCAAGACTGAGGCCGAGAAGCAGACTGAGAAGGAGGAAGCCGAGTACCGGAAAGTCTTCGAGAATTTCCTGCATAATTCCATCTTTGTGCCCAGGTGCGTGTCCTTGAGAAAGCACGTGGATGTACCAGGCACGCCCACGAACTCATGGCAGCTCCGTGTCACAGCAGGACTGCTCGCCACAGGGTGTCGTGTGGCTGATGTTTTCCCAGTCATCCGTAACCATAGGACTCTTTCTAGGCCCCTCTGGGTAGACTCTAACCTTCACATTTTTGGTGAGTATTCAAACACTCACCCACTCGTGCCATCCAGGGATGTCCTTTCCTACAAACCTCTAGTGGACATTTATACTGTGCTTACTTCACCCCCTGAAGGCTCGCTGACATTGTCATAGCAAATAGTTCCAAAGAGACTTTGTTTTTGGTCTCTTTTGAAAGTATATACATACAGACATATGTGTAAATGGTTAAAGTTAGGGAACAATATTACCTTGAAAAGTCCATAAAATAGGAAACAAAGGCATTTTAGGACTAGAGACGTTTCCTGTTTCAGAATCCCCCTCTCTGTTTGTTCATTGTGCAGGGGCTCTCTCGGCCTCACCTCCTAGCTAGCGATTAACACCAGGAAGACTTGCAGGCAAAGAGCGCGGTGTGGGGCCTCTGACTCGCCCTGCTTCGGCGTCCGTCAGGCTCCCATGCCTGTGTCTCTAGTTTAGGGACGACATCTCTGGTGGCACCATTTGTGCTCAACTCCTAGCCTGCAGGGTGGCGATTCAGGCCCACCCAGTGAAGAAACCATGGCAGGAAGGCCTGCCGGTCTGCTTTCATCAGCATTACGGCAACGCTCAGGGACCAACCCTGCGGAGCAGTTCTCCGCTAACACATGGAGCCCCGTGTGTCAAACCCATTCAAACAGAAACAGGCCCATTGTATGGAGCATTAGTTAAAATTTGGCCCAAATATGCTGGATATTATGCATGATTCCTGGAATTAGACAATTCTAGGATGGGGAAAGGGCTCACGTGTGTTTGAAGCCTGGAGTTCAGAGGTGCGGTAACCTCTCTCAAACCCCATAATCCCTGTAAAGCTTGACCCGAATTCCCCACACCCCACGGCTCTTTTCCCCTCGTGGTGGTGGGCTTCAAACAAGCCAGCAGAGGGTCAACTGGTGGCAGTACCCAGTGCCACTGAGGGGAGAGGTCAGCGTGTTCAAGTCAGGCTGGACAGAAAGTCAGTTGCTCATTCTTCACCAAAGGCTGTTTGATTCCCTTGCCATCTTGTCCCGCCAGCCTGCCGGGGTTTCCGGCTTGTGATTCGTCAAGGTCAGGAGAAGTACTGTTCAGTTTTCGGGTGTTTGGCATTTGGGGGAGGAGGTTTCTCATCATTTCTTGCAGTCCTAACTTTCGCTGTCCCCAAAGAAGTTCTAAAGATTCCGAATAATGCAAATGATTTGTGCTCACCTGCTGACCTGGTGGTTCCGACCCCCACCCCACCCCACCCCCGGGCACCGCAGAAGGCTGATCATGTGTCCTGAAAGCTCACGGCCAGGAAAATCCCCCAGAGCAGGTGTCTCCTCTGTGGCACATGCAGTCCCGTCCGTTTGAGTCGGCTCCTTGGAAGCGGGTGTGATTTATGGTTCTGTAAAGACAAGCCCAGCTTGCTGTATCGTCTTTTTATCCAATGCATGCAAAAGCCATGGTGTGCCCCCATGGTCAGAGGCCACACTTGGATAACGTAATGTTTGTCTTGGCTTATGCCTCCTACAGAAGGGAACCGCAAGCCCTCAAGCCTGGCACGGGCGGGGAGTGGGGTACTTGTTTCCCTTTCCTGTCCCAAGTCCTTGCAAGTTCAGGCGCAGGCTTGGGAAACGAGAGTGCAAGGTGACAGAAGAAGTCCCAGCAAGGGCTTTCTGTCTCAGAGCAGAGGTGTATAGAAATGGTTTCTGATGCCTTTCAGTCGTCCCAAGGACAGTTGATTTCGGAATGGGAGCTGGTCCAAGTCACTGTAGTGTGCTATACATGGCGCACCACCCGGATTTGGAGTAGAAGGAAGGCTAGAGTTTGCAAACATGCTTGGTGTTGGTGGAGGCCTTTCGCTTCCAGCAAACTTTGTTTATTGTTTATTTTTTTAAAGTCACGTTTGGTTTAACGAACTGAAATGTCAGCAGACATTGAAAAGTGGGCAATTTTCTGGCCGCAACAGGTGGTACGGTATGGGGTGGGAGTGGGTAAGGTTGGTAGAAAGCTTGGCGGTGGACCACCCCGTCTTGTTGTGAAGGCTGTTCACAGAAAGTACGTAGTCACTGTCTCCCTGCCTGATGATGCTCTGAGTTGCTTTCTCCCCCTGATCCCTGACTTCGTATCAACAGTAACAGCGATGCAACCCTGGAAGGGTGGTGTTTATAAGTAAGTCAGCTGCTGAGTGGGCTGAATGGTGCCATCCCAGTTAAACCAGGGAGAGGCTTTCACAAAGCATTACTTTGCAGGGGGTTAAATTTAAGCAGCTTCTTACAGATGCAAATAGATATGTGGATTATGTTCATTTGAGGGGAAGGCAGGAAATTAGTTCTGGCCTGTGACAAAAAGAAGGTTTCTCTAGCAGTAAAATGTGGCTTCTTGAGTTTCTTCCCTTCCAGAAAGGTTGGTTGGTTTGCAGAGTGTGAGACTGGGCAAACATTAGCCTCATTTCCTAGCTCCTCCCACCTCCCCAGAACTGGGAAAATAAGTGTACTCAGGCCATGAGCGTGTGCCCTGACCTGGGAGTCTTCTGCCCATTGGCATGAGCGTCTGTGTGGGGCCACCACCCAGCCCTGGCTGCTGTGTGTTGTGGTGGCACTCAATCTATCACTGCAGGAGGTGGCAACAGTGTTCCAGTGAGGAATGAATGGGAGCCAGAGACACTTCCCTCAGACACCCTGCTCCCCGCTTCCAGGATTTTCCCTTCGAGACAAATAAACATCAGCAAGGACCTGCTCGTGGTCAGCTGCCCCCTTTTTCTCTTCTCCGAGTCTCAGAAAAGGCCAACTTTCGTAGCACGGCTGAGCTCGGTTTCTCATTTCTTACAGACCCGAAAGGAAGCGGAGGGACGTCATGCAAGTTGCCAACATGTCCCTGTCCGGCCGGGCCAGGAACATCACGGGGGGAGATGGCTACAATCTCACAGACCCGGATGAGCTTGAGACAGAGTTCCCTTTCTATGAGAGCAGAGTGGACAACAAGGAGAGGACTGTCATTTCAAACCTGCGGCCTTTCACGCTGTACCGTATCGACATCCACAGCTGCAACCACGAGGCCGAGCAACTGGGCTGCAGCGCCTCCAACTTCGTCTTTGCCAGGACCAAGCCCGCAGGTACGGACGCGTCCTGCAGCCTCACGGCTGGGAAGACAGCTCTGTGGGAGCACAGCTGGGCACCTAGTCTCAATCCTGGGACGTGCCGCAGTAAGCCAGCAGCTCAGGCTGTAGCGTGTGCTCCGAGGGTGGCTTTGCTCCCGTGCCACACTTTCTATAGAAACTGTCCAAGAACAGTGAGCTGGCCTCCCAGGCCAATTTTCCTCACTCCCCTGGTTCACATGGGACACTGTCCTGTCCAATTCCCCCATCCGCACACAGGCTAATTGCCCTGGTGGCACTGTGGGATAAGCATTGGATTGCTAACTGCAAGGTTGGTGGTTCAAACTCACAGCTGCTTTGGAGGAGAGACAGATGAGACTGGCTGCTCCAGTGAAGATTTCGTCTCAGGCACCCTATGTAGGGCCACTATGCATCGGAATCAACTCCCTGGCAGTGGGTTTGGGTTTTTGTCCTTAGCTGAATTCTCACAAATTTAGTGAAGTCCCAGGGACACGGGTTTGACTGGAGTAACCATCGCTCCTGTCTCAGGGTCTCCAGAGAAGCAGACCCCGTGACCTGCACAGATGGACATGTGTTCATTCATTGACAGAGACAGAGATTGGCTTCACCATATTGCTGTATATGACCGCGAGGAGCTGCCAAGTCCACGGTCCTTAAGTCAGGTGGCAGCTAGTGACCCTTCGTAGCTTGTATCCCACACGCCGTAAGTCAGACAATCGAGAGAATGAAGTGAGGCTTCGGCCAGAACCTCCGATTGCAGTCCAGAAACAGGGCAACCCCAGAAAACACTGCCATCTTATAATTAAAGCCTTTAAGATATTTTTAATTGTATTACATTGTGGATGATCATTGTGCTATATTCGTTGACCTTATGGAAAGTTATCTGCCTTAAGTAAAGCCAACTGATTTCATGACATGTAACTGCTCCATAATAGTAACTGGGCAAATGTTTGGCCCAACAGCTGGGAACCAGAGCCTAGCCCAGTTGGCACATATAATTAGCTACCTCAGCTGTTAGGGACAACAGGTCTGTCATCAGCTTTCCTCTGAAAGTTTAACAGCTGCCTGTCACCCCAGGAGCCATTCTTCTACCTTTGAGGGACCGATGAACTGTTTCCTCCTCTGGTTTTCAATGCCTTTGGCTTACCGCTCTCTTACTGTTTTACAAAATAAACAACAGGGCGACGGTCACCACAGCCTCGTCTAGTTGCTCAAGGAGTAGTTGAGGATGGGTGTGCGTGGCCTCCCCTTCAGCTCTTGTGTCTTAGCAGCTCTACCACAGGCCAGGCTGTGGAACCCCCCCACCCCCTCACCCCCAGGCCTGCATGAAAAATTGCACCCGCCACACGAGGCAGCGTGGACCACACAGGGAGACGAGTCCCCGCTGGGCTAGTGAGGCCACTGCTGCTTCAAAATGGTGGGAGCAAAGGGAAGGAGAAATTACCTGCGTGGCCAAAATTCCCCTTCCTGCACCTGACACAGGCTTATTTGGCAAGGCAGAGGTAGGGTGGTATATGGAGGCTGGAGGTCCCCAGGTCGTCACAGTTCTGACACCGGTGCTGCGTGTGAGTGGCCAGCCTCTGAGACTGTAGGTGGTCACCATCATGCCCAAGTTAGCCAGTGTTCGTCCCCCCTCTCCTGGAAGCCCAACCCGACTTCACCACTCGCGTAAATTGTTTTACAGACGGAGCGGATGACATTCCCGGGCCAGTGACCTGGGAGTCCAGGCCTGAAAACTCCATCTTCCTCAAGTGGCCAGAACCTGAGAATCCCAATGGATTGATACTAATGTACGAGATCAAATACGGATCCCTAGTCGAGGTAAGACAGGGCAGTAGTAGTCCTGGTTTGGGTGCGTGAGTGTCTATCACCTTTAGAGGAGATAGCAATTCTGATTCCGTTTCTATCCTGGCTAACTAAGCCTTTAAAGTTTTCAGTTGGTTAGTCGATGTGGATTTAGGATTTCTTCCAGCACCACATTCTCAGAGATACATGATAGTAGTGTACAAGGAGATGATGGAGTGGTGCCTAACCGAAGGTTGGGGTTCAGGTCCACCCAGAGCGGCCTGTCTTGTTGGCAGAAACTGACATTATCACATATGCTGTTTACTTTGATATTTTTTATTCCTTCAAGAGTTCCTTTTGCTTACAAAAAAGTTTTGGTTAAAATGTGGGTATGCTTGAGGTCACTGACGGACTGGCTACCTGTGAAGACTGCGTGTCTCCCCTTTGCTGGGAGACCTGGCTCCTTACCGGGCAGCCGCGTCACGGAGTGGCGAGCTCTGAGGAAGCACACTCCGCTCCCGCGTTGGGGGACTGACATGTATCTCACTTCGCCCAGGATCAACGGGAGTGCGTTTCCAGACAGGACTACGAGAAGTACGGAGGAGCCAAGCTGAATAGGCTCAACCCAGGAAACTACACAGCCCGGATTCAGGCTACTTCTCTTTCTGGCAACGGCTCATGGACAGATCCAGTGTTCTTCTATGTCCCGACCAAAAGTAAGCTTTGCATAGGGAGTGTTGTGTAAGGCTGGGAGCATGGTGGGCTAGGATTCAGGAAGCCAGGCCATGGTTCTCGAGATTTTCCCTTCCAACCAGGCGGCTAACATTCACAATGCTCACACTGAGGGCCCCTCATCTCAGCCGGAGGACTGCTAACCTGTGAGCACCTGCCTCATCGCATCTCCGGAGTGTGTGTCTGTTCCCGTTTTCTGAGACGGTGCGTCCACTGTAGAGTTACCCAGAGATGTTTGCTTTCAACCTAATTGGTGCCCAGACTGAAGCTATTTATGAAAGTGTTGAATTGCCCACACCACCTCCTCTGCCCTGTCACCCCACTGCTTTGGACTTTCGGATTTACAGTCCTGAAGATTAAAACTAAAATAGCCTTCGGGCTCAGCTAGTCCAGCTGCTCCCTGGGCAGGAGTCTCCATAACTGCACCCCAGGCTGACCCCTTCGCCTCTGCTTAGTGAAATACATGCACACATGAACAAGACCACTAGATGCTTAAAGAGCACAGTTTATAAGTTTATGTTCAAACCTTGGACCAGACACATTTTTAGAAGTCTATTTGGAAAATGTTAAAACTGAATTTTGTAGCATGTATGAACATAACCCTGGCCACCTTCTTGTTATTTGATCAAGAAAACATAGTATTCATTTGGTGAGGTATACCTTGCTCATTCTTTCCATAATGGCTTTTCATTATTTCTTATTGGGCACTCAGTTTTGTAGATTGTTTCGTATTTACATAACGGGAACAAATTTGGCATGCCATTGTTGCTTATCATTCCCCACCAAAAATCAGCAAGCCATCCTTGCAGGGTGCTGGAGCTTGTGGGTCTAGTGGCCAGCTCCCCGTCGGCTAATCCTTCCTGGTGTCTATGTATGTCCTGTGCTAACCTAGAATCTGGCTCCAAAGGACTCATCAGGTCTACCTGTCAGCACTTAACATCCGAAGACATCTGAGAGGTAGCAATCCCTAATAGTAAAAGTTATCAAAGCAAAGAGAAGGTTGTGTGTAATCACAAACCCTGGGGCCACATTTAATGGGCCCGACACTATGGCTAGGCTCAGGTGATAGTACCAAACAGATATTTCATAGGTTACTCTGTGGATAAAATTCGGCATGAATCCTATCCCCGAAATACAGAGATTGAGTCAGGGCTCAGTCATTTCTGACATCAACCCACCCAGCAGCCCTGTCTGACCATCACCAGAGATAGGACAGATCTTACGAGTAGAAAGGACACCACCCTTAGACTGCCGAACAGGAGGGCACTGGCTGGGAGTCCAGGAGACTACACAGCAGCTTCACTTCCACCTGCTGGCTTCTCCCCACTGGGTTTGCTAATTCACGGGAAGAAGTCACCGAATGTACAATTGTAGACCTTTTAAAGTACCAGGAAACAAATCAGGATCATCCTTAGGAGGAGACTCCTGGGCAATATCTGGGAGGCTTCCCAATACAGGGCTTCTGTGTCTCAAAAAGGGAACATCAACCACCCTCCCTAACTAGGAACCCATGAGATGCCTCTAGAAGTTAGTTGCTATTGGGCCCCCAGGTGAGTCTCACTGGCTTGGCCAGCCTATATCCAAACCTTCAGGTAGGCTCGAGAGGTTTCAGTTAAGCCACCATTTATCAGTCACCAAAGAAATGTTTTATTATAACCCATGCACACCCTCCCAAATACTTCCAACATCCCTAAAACCAAAACTCACTGCCAGTGCGTCTATGCCAACTCATCGACCATCTAGGATAGAGGAGAATTACCCAGAGGATTTCTTCTAAGACACTACATCTTCATGGAAGTGAATTGCCATATTTTTCTTCCAAAGTGGCCGGTGGGCTCCAATCACTGACCTTACGGTTAGCAGCCAACCACTGCACCACCACAAGAGCTCCTTAAATCATCTCACTTATTTACAATAAAAATAAAATGTAGATAGGTGTTTCATCTCCCTCTGAAGTCTCTAAGGGATTGCTTTCACCTCTTCGTTGCATGTCCCTCCTTGCAGGAGAGAGAGCGGAGACTTTCTGTTTCTAATCTGGTAAAGGTTCATAGGTGTGGAACCCCATGGCAGCAGCTTCATTCTGTCTTAGAGGCTGCTGTAATTTGAAAGCAACTCTGTGACAGTGAGTTTGAGCTTCTGAGTTTTGAATATTTGTATCTATGGATCAGAACACACATCTATGGAGGTTCAACTGTAATTTGATTCTTCTCACTTAACTTCATCTCACCCGTGAGCTTATTCTACTGCCTGGTATATTCCCAATCTTTCTCGCTTTCTCTCTGTACTGCCTTGTTCTGGGGACCAGTCTCCTAGGAATAGACTGTGGGTTTGGGGATTTTGTAATTGTGTTCTTTGAAACAGCAGGCTTGACTTCTTGGGTTGAGTGAACTCCGTTCATCCTCAGAGATGGTATGTTCTGTGATGGCTCCCTTTTAACTCTGTGAGTGGTGGAAGGGCAACCGGCCAGCCAAGAACTCTGGTGGATTTTTCCAACAGAGGTGGCCATTCAACACAGGGAACTTAAATCAGCGTGTCTGCTTTGCTATCGGGAAGTGTTTCCTTATGTCAAACAGGACTCCTGCTCAAGTTTAGTCTCATTTCCTCTTGTTCAATCCTTAGAGGAGACAGAAGCTTTGGAGATTCTCTGGAAACTGTTCTCCTTTTAGAAACCCTTCATACATTTGACTACGATTCAATTACCCTTCAGACAACTCTTCCTCAGGCTAAATAATCTTAGGCCTTTGGGTCTCTTCTTATTGTCGAATCCCACAGACCAATTTTCTAGCCATTTAATCATTTTGTTGTTCTCTGGATGCATTCCAGTTTCTCCATGTCCCTGTTGAAATGTGATCCTCAAAAAGAACACAGAACAACCTGACCAGGAGTATAATAAGTGAGACAAGCAGAAGAAATCGTCTGGGAGGTGGAAGGGGTGGGGGGACGGGCTGGTTCCCAATGGCAATGGTAGCTTGTGAGTGTTTTCAGGAATTGGAAAAGATGAGTCAGCAGCTGTTTTGAAAAATGTTTAATGAAAGTACCTTCAAAAAGAATGGCTTGTAAAAAAATACCGTCGCAGCAGAATATTCACCAATGCCTAATGAGTTCCAAGCCCATTTCCACGGAGACACCTGTACTTGGATGTCCCTCCAGCAACTCATGCACAGACCACAATCACAGTTGCCGCCACCAAAATGTCTCGCCCTCCTTTCTCCCTTAGCTCATGGTCCCGCTAATCCACTCTCCACCCAAGCCGTGGCACCTCAAGGAAATCCCTAACTCGTCTTTCCATCCAACCCCGTTTCTTTTTTTTTTTAAATTCATGTTATTGGGGGCTCATACAACTCTTATCACAATCCATACGTATATCCATTGTGTCAAGCACATTTCCAACCCCGTTTCTTTTCCTATCCAAGACCCATTGACTCTACCGTCCATCCAGGACTCCGTTGGTCATCCGAGCCCACACGTGGCTAGTTTCATGTGGACTATAGGAGCTGTGGGTGCAGGAGGCCTGCACCTGTCTTGGCCTGGGGAGGGGGGTCTTTCCCTGTGAATCTTCTCTTCCACACGTGTAGAAACGCACACAGTGCTACTAAGTTAAGTCTGACTCACAGAGACCTTTTAGAGCAGAATAGAGCTCCCTGTAAATCTTTGTGGGAGGAGACAGCCTCATCTTTCTCCCAAGGAATGTTGGTGGTTTCAAAGTTCTTGCCTTGCACCATGAGGTCTCCTTACCAGTTGTAGAAAAGGAGAAGTCACCAGTTTATTTCTGAATGAGGTCCTGCCTTCCTCTATGTATCCATACCAAAGGGCAGTCCACTTTTCTAATTGTTAGGCTACCTATTAGCTTTCTGATTGTAATGTAATATTTGGCACTCTCTTTCATCACCCCCAGTGCCCAGCCCTAGTGTCCCTACTGTACGTGCTTGGTTGGGGGGGTAATGAGTGAGAGCAGCACAGGGTGGTGTGCCTCAGACCAATGGCTGGACTGAATGGGAGAATTCAGAGCAGCTTTGGCTGGAAGTACTGCGTCATTTTCTAGGGCTGCCATACACAAAGTACTTCAAACTGGATGATGTATCAGAATACAAATCTCCCTAATAAAACGATTTAAAAAATGATTAAAAAAATACAAATCCCGAGATCCCCTTGCAGAGGGGTCTCGGGGAGGAGATGAGCCAGTCAGGGTGCGATGTAACAACGATGAGAAATACAACTTTCCTCTAGTTCCTAAAGGTTTCCTCCCCGCTCCCACTACCATGACTCGAATTCTATCTTGCAAGACTGGCTAGACCAGAGGAGGTACACTGGTACAGATAGGAACTGAAAATACAGGGAATCCAGGACGGATGAGCCCTATAGGACCAGTGGTGTGAGTGGCAAAACAGGGAGGGTAAAGGGAGAAGGGGTAGGGAAGAGGGAACCAATTGCATGGAACTGTGTGTGGCCTCCTCCCTGGGGGACAGACAACCAAAAAGTGGGTGAAGGGAGACGTCGGACAGGGCAAGATATGACAAAATACCCATTTATAAACTATCAAGGGCTCATGCGGGAGGGGGGAGCGGGGAGGGAGGGGAAAAATGAGGACCTAATGTCGGGGGTTTAAATGGAGAGAAAATGTTTTGAGAAACGATGTACAAATGCGCTTTACACAATTGATGTGTGTATGGATTGGGATAACAGTTGTATGAGCCCCTAATAAAATGTTAAAAAAATTTTTTAAAAAAATACAAATCCATTCCCTCACAGTTCTGGGAATGGAAAGTCCAAAATCAGAGTGCTGGTCCTGTGGATTCATTCTGAGGACCCTCAGGGGGGCAGGGGGGCGGCACCTGTCTGTCCTACCTTCTGGTTATGACTGGAAATCTTTTATATTCCGAGACTCGTAGATCAACCACTACACATCTCTGCCTCTGTCTTCACATGGCCATCTTCCCTCTCTGCCGGGGGTCTCTCCTCCTTTTAAAGGATGTCACTCAGTTAGCTCCCATTTGTGATGTCTCACGTCCAGCAGAACAAAATGCATGGGACTCTACCAAACAGCATGGAGCGATTGGTTTTTCCTAGTAATGTCTCCAGAGGAAGCAGAGCACAGCCTCTCCATGGTGCGTTCTAAGGAGCATCAGCGCTGTACCTGTTGGATTTGAACCCACCGTGCTACAGTGCACCTGACCTTAACCACTGATAACATTATCAAAGGCCCTATGTTCAAACTAGGTCAAATTCATAGAAGAGGGGTTAAATCATCCATCTATCTTTTTGGAAGCCATTATCTAGCTGTCAGAGGTACAATCTATGCTTTTATTATTATTATTATTATTATCATCATCATCATCATCTCTGGCACTGTCTTACAATAGATAAGGATCAGTGTGCCTTGAGCTCTCTCTATGTACAAATCTATTCTTTTTATCCAAAGTGTGTGGATTTCCTTTAACCAGGCCATCATTTGAATATTCAGAATACACTGACCTTTAAGAAATAAATATATTGCTTGGTTTCTGCTTCTATTTTTCCCCCCAATCACTTGGATTTTGTTTCGTAGGGTTTACTTTTAGGACTTCCTAGTTTACTGTAGTTCAATCAGTCAATCAATATTTCAGAGATATTTTTCACACTTTCAACTGAACATGAAAGATGAAAGAGCAAGTTATTCCCCTGGTGACATCTTCTCATTTTCTTCTGTTTCTGCAGTAAGACCTTATGAAAACTTCATGCATTTGATCATCGCTCTGCCTGTGGCCGTCCTGATGGTAGCGGGAGGGCTGGTTATAATGCTCTATGTCTGCCACAGGAAGAGGTGAGTCTGGGGTAAACTGTGAAATCCTGTTTTATGGCTAAGGGGCTCGATGGATTGGAACCCGAGTCAAGATCATCTTTTTCAGGTCTTTAGAATTAGGGTTGGAAAACCAAATGAGGACAGTTGTCCCTATCACACAGGTCCGTATGTAAAACTTTTCCAGCTTGATGTTGGGCCCCTCTCAACCAAACAGGCCTTTTTCTTTCCGGTGAAGTCAAGAAACCAATGTTTCTCAAAACGCCCTAATCTGAGGCCGCCGAAGGTCTTAGAGGCGTGTTAGCACCTGTCTGCTGTTCCACCTGGCCCTGAACTGTGCGCACTTAGAAGAGCTGTGATCATTCAGGAAAAAGTCACCTCACTCTACTACAGCGGTTCTCAACCTGTGGGTCACGACCCCTTTGGGGGTTGAACGACCCTTCACAGAGGTCGCCCGATTCATCACAGTAGCAAAATTACAGTTATGAAGTGGCAACGAAAATAGTTTTATGGTTGGGGGTCACCACACATGAGGACCTGTCTTAAAGGGTCGCAGTTGAGAACCACTGCTAAGACACCAGTATATGCAGAATGGTGTTGCTGTGCGTGCTGTGGGGTTTTCTAACCTGCGTTTCCTCTCTCTGACAGAATTAACAGCAGGCTGGGCAATGGAGTGCTGTACGCCTCTGTGAACCCGGAGTACTTCAGCGCGGCTGATGGTATGTTCGCTGTGGGAGGGGGAACAGTTAGTGGGGAGCTTCCAGGGGTGTTGCCGACTTAGAGGGCGTGGTTTTCATGATTCTGAGATGCCGCTGGCCTTCCATCTGGCTTCATTAACACCTTTGTGGTTGTTGTTGTTAACCACAATCTGGTTTCCAAACATTCTTTTTTTCTTGGATTCCTTGACATTGTCTCCCTTTTACCCCACCACCTCCACTGTACAACCCCACCCCCTTCTCATCCCAAAACCCTTATGCTGCTTGCTGTCCCTATAGATTAATCAATCCTGGGTTCCATCTACTTAAACACAGAAAAACATAAAACACAGCTTCATGAGGTGACCTCTCATGACATAACACCTCTGAGATCCACCCGAATATGAAAGAACCAAACAAAGATACAGACATTATTAAAAACCAGATCAGGTCCAGCATGCATCAGAAGCGGGATCAACTGACCAAGTTTTACCTTTTTCAAGTCAGATTTATGCCTCTCGTCTTCTGTACTCGTCCCTCCAGTGCACTCTCTTTGGGAACCACTTTCCTCCCATCCCACCGCAGGCTTCTTTCCTATGTAGGCTCCGCAAGTGAATCTTGGGCTCCTGTCATCCATTGCCTTCTCACAGTTTAGCTGCTGGTCCCGATCCCTCCGACATCAGATTGTATGATTTGCCATCTTCGGTGACTGGTGATGGTGTGCTTCTTCCATGTGGACTTAGTTGACCTCTCACTTTGATGGCTGCTTGTTTGGAGACAAGCCTTAAAGAACCACATGCTATTTTATTTGATACCCGGGCACCATCTACTTTCTTCACCACATTTTGCTATAGCACCTATATCTTCTGTGTTCCCTTTCTGTATGAAGCAGGGCCATGATGCAAGAACGAATTGTTCTTAAGTTGGAGCTAGACTTTAGTGCAAGCCCCAAACCCATGCCTGGGTCTGTATTTTAAAAAATGTATTAATTGGGAGTTAACACATACAGGATTCCATAGTTCAATCACAACAAACAGAATTGTACAATTGCTTCCACAATCAGTTTTTTTACAATAAATTTTTTAGCAAATCATTGGATAAAAGTTCTAGGACTGTGTGGGATGTCCCCAAGAAAAACAAGACCTCAGAATAAAAACGGGGCAGCGCACACAATGACCAATTTACTCAGTTGGTCAAATTGGTGTGTTAGAGTGTAATAACTTTTTTAAGCAGTTGACTTGAAAATTGGATTGGGCTCAATGAAAACAGTGCTTTTTACTAATTACTCTTCCTTGTTTGCTTAAATCCAAACCTTTGAAGGAAGAGGAGTTGGTCGATAGGTCTAGCAACATTGGTTACTGGACTTTGCCGGGAGCTTTTGCCCCACTCAACCCTTAAAAGACCGTAATTGGGTTTTCCTATGAGAGTCGGGGAATACATTTGTTCGGGGGCCCCATCTCGAGTTACGTGAGAAGCCAGGAGTAGAACCTGATTCTTAGCTTTTTCTGCTGCATCTTGTAGCTAGGACGTGACCGCCAGAAAGGACTGTGAGGTCCTCAGAGCAGGACCGTGAAGGTGTTCCACAGGGAGCAGGGGTCAGTTTTGTCCAATGGATAAGTCAGAGTGTGAAATTGGAGGGCGTGGTGGCAGTGTCTTTAGAGAAAGCGTGTCCTTCCTTCTTGCTACAGTGGACATGGGGACACCGATCCCTTGCTGTAGAGTCAGTACCTCTCACAGTGGCCCTGGAGGAGGGGGAGGGGATTGCCCTTTGGGCTTCCAAGGCTGTCGATCTGCTTGGCTAAAGCGGGCTGCCTCTTCTTTGTCCCTCCAGGAGCGAGCGGTGCAAACAGCCTACCTTTCTGTTAGCCGTACTTAACCCCTGCAACACCAACCCAAACCTCTGCCATCGGGTTGGTTCTGGATCATTGTGACCCTGTAGAGCGCATCCAAGGCCATGAATGTTTTCATGCATTTAGGGTCAGATACCCTCATGTTTCTCTCCGGTAGCAGCTGAACCGCAGACCTGGTGGGTAGCAGTCAACCTGACAGTGTCCCCAGGACTTAAGTAGACAGTGTAGGGGGTGTAAAATGAAGCACGATTATCCTGAGTGAATGACTGAGACAACATTAGAAAATACCTGGACAGTTTAAAAACACTCGGTGTGTGGAGTTTTACTCTGGGTTCCTAACTATGTCCCAAACAGTCTGAAGGCCAGTCAAAAACAGCCTCCTTTAAAGTCATTTTACTGGGGGCTCATACAACTCATCACAATCCATACATACATCAATTGTATAAAGCACATTTGTACATTTGTTGCCCTCATTATTCTTTTTTTAATTATTTTATTGAGGGCTCGTATAATTCTTACCACAGTCCATGCATACATCCATTGAGTCAAGCACGTATGCACATCTGTTGCCCTCATCGTTCTCAAAACATTTGCCCTCTACTTTAGCCCTTAATATCATTTGCTCATTTTCCCCCTCCCCACCCCAACATTCTGTCTTTTTAAGTAGGCAAATACATATATACCTAAGGCACAGAGAACATTCTGGAAACACATACACCAAAATGATAAGAATCCTTCTTACTTATTAAAAAACAACAGCAAGTTATGTATGTGTTGTCCCGGGAAATATTAGTTATTATTTATTTATTTTAAGAAATGAACTCCAATGAGGTAAGGAGTCATCCTGTAGTTGATGGGAATCTTTAGGGGAAAATGAAGCCGCCCACCCTCTGTTCCCTCCTCTCCTCCGTACGCTGGGCCCCTGTTAGGACCATGCTAGGGAACCTGCTCTGCTTTGAAGGAAGTGCAGAAAGTCGGTGTGGGTAGCCTTGTCTGGGAAGTGGTTGGGAAGTGTAGGGAAAGTATGAGTACCCCCCCAAGTCAACTTTTCTAGCGATGATTTAAGTTTGGATGTCGAGAGATGCCTGTTCCGTACGTCTTGATCCTCCTTTACAAACAGCAACCACAAAGCCCTGCCGCATAGGCCAACATACAGGTGGAGGTGCTGTCACCCCATTTGAACCTGATTGGCTCAGCCTTTCGACAAGCACCATCTAGCCAGTTCCCTCCAGGGAGGCCAGTGCGACAGTGCACTTCAATAGAGCTTACAATACTTCCTTCGCTAAAAGCTAATCTGCATGTCACCTCCTCCTGAGGACACACTGAAAGTCCCCTGCAGGAAAGTCCTGATACATTGTGAACGTGAACATGGTGGCTCCTACATCTTCTGGTGGAAGGCAGAGCTGTTAAGTTGAATTTAGAGAAAAGAACTGAGCTTATTAAGTTCAGGGACCAGCCAAGGAGTGAGTTTGATTGGTTTTAACTGCATGTTTTATGGCATGGTAAAGCTGATTAAAAATAAATCTGGGTTTCTAGAGATACACGTGTATAGATGGTGTCTGCTTGTACTTCTTGAGGACCATTGTGGAGTCTTATCTATTAGATTGTCTTGCAGGCTCTTATTCTTGCATAGTGTGTTAGTCTGGGTAGACCAGAGAAACATCCATAGACACTCATATGTATATAAGAAAGAGGTTTATATACAAGAGTAATTGAATATTGAGAAAATGTTCCAGCCCAGTCCATAAGTCTGATATTAGCCCATATGTCCAATGCCAAATCTATAAAGTCCTCTTCAGACTCACAAACACATGCAATGACTTATGCCGAATGCAGGAAGACCATAGGCCAGTGGGTAAGAAGTCTTGTGGATCCAGTGGCATTGTAAGCATCTCAACACTGGCAGAGGTCTCTAAGTGGCTTCTCCGGCTCCAGAGGTCTAACTCCACCAGCCTCTCTCTGTGTGTCTTCTCCACGGGGATGTCTCTCAGGGAGTGAGCATGTGTCCCGCCTCCAGCAAGCTATTTATCTCCTTAGCACCTTCAAATGAGGTGATCAGGCTACTACCTGATTGACAGGCTAGACGCCACCCCTTCACTCTGAATCCTCAAATTGACACCAGATTATGTAACTACCCCATATAGCAGTGAATTTTTTTTAAGGGGCGCAAACCCTTCCAGGGGTCCTCAAACTACAGCCCGCGGGCCACATGCGGCCCGCCGAGGGCATTTATCCGGTTTGCTGGGTGTTTATGCCTCATTTGCTTTTTTCACTTCAAAATAAGATATGTGCAATGTGCATAGGAATTTGTTCATAGTTTTTGTTTGTTTTTTTAACTATAGTCCGGCCCTCCAATGGTTCTGAGGGACAGTGAACTGGCCCCCTGTTTAAAAAGTTTGAAGACCCTTGCTTTACGCCATGTATAGGGTGCAGATGAACGAGAATGTGAGATTGTTGAATGTACAGTTGTCCCTTGAAGGATACGGATATGGACTGCTTGGGTTTTTTTTTCAATTAATATATTAGAAACGTTTCTTTGGAGATTTGCAACCATTTTTAAAGCCGTAGTGTAAAAATAGTGAAAATAGAACGAAGAAAAAGTTAGGTATATCTGGAATGCATAAAATATATGTAGCTACTAATCTGTTTCACTAGGTACTGCTGTAAAAATATATTCGAACCTACTAAAAGTGAACATTTTGGGAAACGTGCACACACAGACCATGCATGGCGCTCTTCCCAGGGGAGAGAGAGAAGCAGACATGAAGATGTGGCGTTCAGTCGTAGCCGCCTAGGACTCACGGAACGCCCACGTGCTGCTGCAGTGGTTCTGTCTCCACCTTCTGGCTCTTGCCGGGAAGTCAGATGCTGTATCTGCTTAAAGCGCCAGGAGACCAGATCATCTAGGGTCGATCGGTTACTCTCCATCAATTGAGAATCACAGTAAGCGTGACCTCTCAAGGTTTTCACACAGCTTGCACTGCGTTTTCTGCGATACAGCGAACAGTGACTGTGTGACACCTTGGGTCCCATGTGACGCGCCACTCGTGTGCTGAAAGTGCTCCCAGGAAGCAGAGAAAAGTCACGAGACACCAAGAAAAGGGTTGAATTGCTCGGTGTGACCCATCGATTGAGGTCTTCCCCACGTTTCAAGATAATGGATCCAGTGTAAGGACCGTGGTATAAGTAAATAAATAACCTCACTGCCATTGAGCCAGTTCTGACTTAAAGTGGCCCTGTGGAGCAGAGCCGGACTGCTCCGTGTGGACTTCTGAGACTGCAGTTCTGTACAGGAGTAGAAAGCCTCCTCTTTCTCCCAGGGACTAGTTGGTAGTTTCAAACTGCTGACCTTGCGGTTAGCAGCCCAATATGTAACCCACTATACCACCCAGGGACATCCTTCGAGACAGGAAATTGTATAAATAGGAAGGGAGATTCAGTTCATGAATCCATCTCACAGCAGAAAGGACCACCAATGCTGTGGAAGAGAATCCCGTTACGAAGACCGTCGTCAGCGTCTGGAAGGATCATACCATGGAAGAGGGCATCGTTGCACAGAAAGGGTTGTGAAAGTCAACCAGCCCCAAACAAACTCCTGCTGGAGGAAAGCGTCCAGATGTTGTGCATGGCTTCATAGATTTGTCAACATGCCCCCCTCCCCCAACCAAAAACGTAAGGGGTGAAGGTTTTCAAGGCGGGCCTCTTGGAGATGTCCAGGGCAGCAGCCACACCCCGGGCGTTAACGGAAGATGGCTTGAAGGAGGGGAGCGCGGGCCAGACAGCGAGCAGACGCGGTGCCAGAAACACACGGACACGTGACAATATGGCAGAGCGGTTCCAATTATTGAAGATGGCTTCGGACTTCTTTCAACGTGGATCCTTCCACAGTGTCAGTGCTGAAACTAAAGCAAGCAGAGGAACACGGATTAGTACTTCTGTAAAGTTCTACCACATGCGTTTGCCTCTCCTGCCTCCCCTTCTGTCTCTTCCTCTCCTAGGCCAGCTCTTCCTCCGTCACCCCAACCTCCTCAACATTATGACAAGTCTTCTTAAAAACATAAGAACTTACAGTCTCAGCAAAGACAGTACAGTGCTGTCAATGTATTTTCTTCTTTTTTTAAATGATTTTATTGGGGGCTCGTACAACTCTTATCACCATCCATCCATCCATCCATTGTGTCAAGCACATTTGTACATTTGTTGCCATCATCATTCTCAAAACATTTGCTTTCTACTTGAGCCCTTAGTATCAGCTCCTCATTTTCCCCTCTCCCTCCCCGCCCCCCCCTCCCTCACGAACCCTTGATAATTTATTAATTATTATTATTTTGTCATGTCTTACACTGTCTGACGTCTCCCTTCACGCACTTTTCATGTATTTTCTTAATATAATATTTTAGCAGTTTTGAGGGAATCAGAAGTTATATGTGAGTTTTCAACTGCATGGGGGTTAGTGCCCCCGCTCATTGCATTGTCCAAGTGCCAACTGTAGTCCATCCTGGACAGTCCTCAGAGGTCAAAATTGTTACTGGCTCCTGAAACGAATTTATGAACATCTGTCCTTTATAAATTGTGAAATCTTTTAAAAGAAGATGAAAACGCTGGGGATGTAGTGATGTCAGTGTTCTGTTCCGTATACTGGCTCTACCCAGCAGTAGCCCTGTGGATACCATCTGAAAGTGAAAAGGCAAACAGGTGTAATCCCAAATTCTCTGTGCACATGCACTTCTGGGCCAACACCTTTCTTTTCATTAGTGTACACTGGGAGCCCCTGCCTCCCCTTTCTCAGAATTAGAAGTATTTGTCTTTAACTGAAACGTCCCACATCCTGACTTCATGAAGTAGGCGGGTTTGACTGTAATTTTTACCCTGCCCACGGGACAGAGCCACTGTTTTGTCTTCTCCCCACCCCTCTTTGGCCTTCTTCCAGCCTACTTAGAACATTATTCTTCTGTTTTCTCAAGCCAGGCTGGATCTAACCAGAAACAGAGGCAGAGAGGAAGCCATATTCAGGCTCATAAGTTACCATGTCCCACCCCTGCCCTTCACCCCAGTGGTGGGAAGGAGGCCCCTGATTCCAAAGCTTTGGGGAGCCTCCTCTGGTCATCAGCGCTCCACTCTGGCCACCACCAACTCCCTTCAGGGCCAGCTGCTGAGTTCATCGGTGCCCAGGGATCTTGGAAAGACTGGCGACTAGACTAGACTTGAGTACCCAATGGAAATCAAATGCAAGTCACTTATGTAACTGCATTTTTTAGTAGCCACATCCAAGGTAAAAATAAATGGGTGACATTCTGATGATAAAGTTTATTTAACCCAGCATATCAAAGTGTTACCACCACTTGCAATAAACAGATACATTATTAAAGTAGTTTACATTCTGTGTATGCCCCAAGAACTTAAAATACACCCTAATTCATAGCACATACCAAAATGATAGTGCAGATTTCAAGTGCTCGGTCTTCCCGTGTGGCGAATGGCCACCATATTGGGAGCACGGGTCTCGAGTCTGCCCTGAGGGGCCTACCACGTGTTTGGATTCCCTCAGAAACAAGTTTGCGTGCTCCATTCCCCTCCACACAGACATCTCAGACCATGTCCTCAATCCAGAATAGAAACTTTGCTGCTTTATTCTCCCTCTTGTCTGGTTTGGGTTTCAATATATTAATGGATCAAATAAAATCTGCTAGAATCCTGCTTGCCTATTTAATCCAGTGGTTAATTTACTTTCTTCAAGTGAATTGTTTACTATAAGTGATGGGAGGGGGAAGGAATCATTGCTTTCTGCTCTGTCTTAGACTTCTTTGCTTCCCACCCCACCCCTAGTTCCTATATGCTGTTACCGTCCTTAAATTATCCAAAAATTCTTGAGTATTAAATCATCCAAAAATTCTTGAGTATTTGAATTGCCATTATTTGACCGAACTGTTGTCTTTTCGAATCCAAGTTGTGAAGAAATTTTTGAAGAAGCCATGTCACTGCCAACTGGTACTTACTTTTGTGGGTTTTAGGAAATGAGATCTTAACAGTCTCTCGCCCGGAATCCCCCTGCCCCTTCCCTAAGGTGACCAGATGGCTTGCTTTTGGCAGGACAGTCCCGGTTTTTAACAATTGTTCCCGTGTCCCACGGCATTTAAAAAAAAAGTCCTGATTTTTGGAAAGAATGCACGACAAGCTAGGGTATACGGTTTTCGGCTGCCATGTGGCTAATTCGCCAGGATATGAGTTTTATCAGCGGTGTCCCGCTTTACCAGTGTTACAATCTGGTCACCTTACCCCACCCCACCCCACCCCAAGCTCATCTGCCCAGGGCAGTGGTCCAACCTTCCTAACGCCACGTCCCTTTACTACAGTTCCTCATGCTGTGGTGACCCCCAAACATAAATTATTTTCATTGCCACTTCATCACTGTCATTTTGCGGCTGTTAATGAATCGGGCAACCCCTGTGAAAGAGTCGTTCAACCCCCAAAGGGGCTGCCACCCACAGCTTGTGAACCGCTGGTTTAGGGCCTCGTTTCTCTACCTGAATCCAATTCCATTCTTTCCTCTTTGCTCTTCCAGTGTATGTTCCGGATGAGTGGGAGGTAGCGCGAGAGAAGATCACCATGAGCCGAGAGCTTGGGCAGGGATCTTTCGGAATGGTATACGAAGGAGTTGCCAAGGGAGTGGTTAAAGATGAGCCTGAAACCAGAGTGGCCATCAAAACCGTGAACGAGGCTGCGAGCATGCGAGAAAGGATCGAGTTTCTCAACGAGGCTTCCGTGATGAAGGAGTTTAATTGTCACCATGTGGTAAGAGAACATGCTGAGCAACCTTGTGTGACAGGAACATGCTGCCCGGGGCCATGCCCGTGTGTCTGTGACCTCACACACAGGCTTGGCACATCACCCTTCCTCGGCCATGTGGTTGCCCTGCGTCCTCAACGTTGCCTTTGGTCTTCTGTGTACATGGTGGTTCTGGCCACGACAGCCATGGCCCTAATGGGGCTTCTCTGGCTCTACTCATGGCACCAGGGCCCACAGCACACGGCCAGTGGGGAGGGGAACAGTGTGGGCAGCCTTCCCACCCTGAGCGTTTTCTTCTTGCCTTCTCCCAGGTGCGGCTGTTGGGTGTGGTGTCCCAGGGCCAGCCAACGCTGGTCATCATGGAACTGATGACCCGGGGAGATCTCAAAAGTTATCTCAGGTCTCTGAGACCAGAAATGGAGGTCAGTCTCTATTAGAACCAACTTCACCCATGCTCTCTTGCCTGTTCTCTTTCTTCCCGGACTTCAATTCAGGACAATCCCAGGGGCTTCGGGAAGTGTGCTGCAAATCCCCATGGTCTTTTCATTTCATTTTCCAACACCCCCCTCACGTCGGGTCCATAAATCAAGTGACTTCTCATGTTGGAATGGTTGGAATGGTTGAAAGTTTGATCTCCAACGCAGATAGCCTGTAACATTTTGCAAGAGGTATTCGCCGCTCCTCAAATGCCCCTTTAACACTTTGGTTTTGTTATCACATCCTCCGGTCTACCTCTGCTTCTTCTCCCTTCCCTTGCCCTAAGGTCTCCTTCCCATACCCATACAGCCACGCTTCCTCCATAAACGTTTGCAGGTCTCCTGGGCCAGGAGTAGCCACCGCCCTGCTAACTTCTCAGCACACTCCACTTGTCCTCAAAGCCTCTTTCTCTTGCCGAGGCTCTCTGAGTGCATTCCCTGCCCTCCTCCATTGTGCTCAGCCTTGTATCTCACACACAACATTTAATTGAGGGCCTTGTTCGTGGCAAGTATTCTTTCAAGAAATGCTTGTTAGAGTCTCATGTTAAGTTAGCTTGATTCTTGCCCTTGATTCTTGCCTGTCTCTAGGAAGTTTGGGAGCAATTCCTCATGCAGCTCAGCACACAGGACATCTGTTTATTCACAACTGAGACACTGCACACCCGTGAACGCACACTAACATACTCTTTTCCTTCACACAGTCCTCTCCAGCTCTCAAACTCAGCATCCACCTTTCAAGCTCAGCTCAAAGTCAATGTCTTGCCTGCACTTTTAAATGATAATCACCTCAGCTAGTAAAAATAGCAGTTTGAGGCATTCATTTCAAATTCCAGATCTATTAACGTCCTGTGTAATTTATTATCAGTCTCCACTTTGGTTGTATGAACCTACGAGCCAGCTTGTTAACATATGGAGGCAAGGCTTAAAATGAATTAACTCACAGAAAAAATGGGTAGGTAAATGTTGAGAAATAGACCCAGCAACCCCCCTCATCCCCACCTGGCTTTTCATTTGGCCTCCCAGTGGGTCTGAAAGTCTCATTGTGCCACAGACTCTTGGGTGAGCATTGGGCCCACTTTCATTCCCCAAAGGGTGCTACTTCCCTTTCTGCTCTTTTACATTTGCATGGGCTTTCTCTGGATTAGCATAGGCTGTTGTGTTCCTCCTTAAACCTGAAGTCGAATCTCCTCCCAAGTAGCTGTCCCCCCGCCCCAGCTCCCATGGCTGTTGGCCCCTTTCTGACTCACTTTGTAATTCATAAGCCAGCACAGAGGGAAGAGTGAGATCGGCAGGTGTGCATCTCCTCAGTCTCACCCAAGGCACCTTGCAAGCGGATGGGGCCCTCCTCTGCCCGCTTTAGACATAGATGAGAAATCTGGAAAACCATCTTCCTCCTGACCCTGCCACTAGCCCTTCCATCACTGGGCACCGCGGTCACGTGTTTGGACCTCAGTTTTCCTTTGCACAAAGCAAGAGGCTTGGACAGGTGGCTTGCAGAATTCCTGTCAGTGGACTCAGAGAGGATCTTGTGCTGCTGATCTCACGCCTGGTACAAAGATGTCACCAGGTTGAGTCCTGGACTGACCAGAATGACCCAAGAAACAATCCAAACAGTAGCTTCTGAGGGAGATCTGCAGGGCTAGTTACCTTCCAGGCAGAGTGCCCAGCTCCGAAAATGACTATGGCTGTGTAACCTCGATAGATTTTCCTGAAGGGCCAGGTCAATCAGGGGCCTTAGTCACAAAAATTCTTACAAGAACTGAAAATGGCATTGGTGAAAAAACGACCGGGGAGGTTGTGCCAAGGTCTTTTGCCCATCACAGTAATGCACCTGCTCATTCCCGGAAGGTGCAAGGTTGTCTATTGAGACTCCTTAGGGAGACGTCGCCCCATTGGCCCTAGATTCCTTAGGTTGCCCTCTCAGTTGTCTGTCTCTAACATTCCAAGAAGACTTCAAAGAAACACGATTCCAGCCTTTTAAGGGCGCCCATACTGCGCTTGTGATGTGGGTAAATCAGAAAGCACGGACCGTACAAAGAGGGAAACATGGCCTTCAGAAGTGGGAATGCCTCACTGGAGAACATGTGGAACACATGCTTCCTGTGGGACGTTCTCTGACACGGAGCGTCATGATTTTGCAGCACTCCTTTGTGACGTGGCCTCATTTAGCAAAGAAAGCACAGAGCCCAAATAAAACACGCACAGGAATCATGCCTTCCTATTGCATTTGAAACCCGTTGCCGTGTGCACGTCCTCCTTTTACCCTTGCTTAGAGGGTAGTGTGGGGTGGTGCCTGTATGAACTGGGAGAAATCTGAATAACCAAACCTTAGTGTACAAAACCACCTCTTTCACTTCAGATCATTTGTGCCCCACTTGTGCCCCACCTCAAGGAGACGCGGCTTGTCTCAGCAGCGCCTGTTGCTATTTCTCTTGGTAGCTCTGTGTGATGCGGCCAGGAGCAAGCACCTGACTTCGCCACCGAGCAGATGCTCTGGTCTCCGTAATGTATATATATATATATAATATATACGTATGTTTTCCTTTTAATTTGTGACAGAACAATCCAGTCTTGGCACCTCCAAGCCTAACCAAGATGATCCAAATGGCAGGTGAGATTGCAGACGGCATGGCATACCTCAACGCCAACAAGTTTGTCCACAGAGACCTTGCTGCCCGGAACTGCATGGTGGCTGAAGATTTCACTGTCAAAATCGGAGGTACGTCGTCGGCTTTCCAGGTCTGAGCAGGACCCCAGCCTTCCTGAGTTAGAGGGTCCATCTTGGCATTACTCTGACTCTGGAGAGGGTCTTGAATGTATTCCTTGGGCCCAGCGGCTTCCTCTCAGAAATGATAAGACTTGTTTCCAGCTGACACTCCGTCACCAGCCTGGCTGGGCTGGTTGGAGTCCTGACTGCACTATGTGGCCCTTGGGTGTTCCAGGTCACAGGCAAGGATAAGCCTGGGCCTTGAACCTGAGAGCTCCACTTCCGACTCCGTAGGCATCTCTTTGTAGAATTAAGTTAGCATTGGTTTTATGTGTAAATAATCAAAAACAATGCCCTTAAGTGATTTGAGACGGAAAGACACCATCCAAACTGTCAGCCTTCCCATTCACTTTCCTAGTTTATAGGGAACATGGTCACTACCTGGAGTCCCTGAACTTCCTGAAAGGTTAGGGGCCCAGGCAGGGAAGTAAGCCCTGCATAGAGCAGGCCGAGTTAATGGATTTCAGACTCCATCAGTGCTCTTGCAAAAAAGGGGTTGGACTGAAGTTTTGCTCTCTGGTTAAAACATTCTCTCCTGCCTTTGGCCATGTCATTTCCCTGATAAAAACATGTGCAGGCGCTGGGCTGCTTTGGGAATCCACCTGCCTGTACCAGGATTCTCCTCTTGCACTGTGATCTGGTGGGTCAGAAAAACATCCAGTTTTTATCTTGACAAACTGCTGGGAATACTTTTACATGCTAAGAAATCTATTTGAAACGAACAGCATTGTCTAGCCCTTGAACGATTCGTGGTAGAATTATTTGCCTTCTTTTAGCAATATTCTTTTTCCCTTTCATAATAATGACATGCTTCGGCCCTTGAGTGGACAGTGAACGTCCTTTCAGGAATGACCAGTGGCAACCTGGGAGCCACATCACCAAGTTGTGAGCAGTTATTCATTCAGGAATCACAGTGTACCCCGAGGTTCGGTGCTCTAGGTCCCCCTTGGAGCCCACCTGGAAGGGCGGAGAGCCCCAGGAAAGTGGTAGGGAGTAGGAGAGACTGGCCTGCCCCCTGGCCCTCAGGGAAGAGCCGTTCTACGCACCCTCACTTCTTCCTGGGGTTCAGATGTTTCCATGAACTTCCAGCCATCTCGCTTTGTAGAGCCAACAAGACAGATGAGCCTGAACCGCTGTCCCTGTTATGCTGATAGATGAAAGGCTTCTCTCAGGGACCCCGAGTTCTTTGAGCCTTGTGCTTTCTATATCTCTGAAGTGGGTCTGCCCATGTAAGCAACCGGGGAGTGGTCGGAAGGGCTGGGTACAGGAAGGCACCACGTACATGTGGGAGGTGGTTCCTGCTCAGTGAAGCTAGTTCTCTGCCTCCTCCTCGCCCTCTCCTGGCCACAGCAGGAGCTCTGTCGGCGCACCACAGTGTGAGACGCTTCTATGCCACTTGCCATGTTCCGTGTAAATCCACATGAACCGCATAATTCTTGCCACATTTCCTTTCAGGTTCTGTCCCCCCATCTCAGAATTTTAGATTCTTCAATATGTTCAGCAAGAGACTGTGTGTTTCTCTCGGATTTCTTTGTCCCCTGGCAGTGCAAGTCAAGGCAGATCCTTTCATTGGCCTGTCCCTGGGTTAGTTTTGAGATGAGACGTTAGCAGTTCACGCTTATATGTTCTTTACTGGGACCTACAACTGTTCTCCAAGCGCCCCGTGTTTAATAGATGACAAATGGGAATTTTCCTGGAAGTAGTTGATGGCTAGCATCCAAGGAACTTCTTCTTGTGTGCTTACTTTTGTCCCCTTACCTCTTTGTGGCACAGTCAAGGAACAAGAATGAACTTTTACCAAGTGGAACAGCCTTCTCTCTTGGCAAAGAGAACCAGTGTACAGTTGAAGAGAAAATGTAAAAGTCTGGCAAAGATGCGATAATATAGGATTGTAAAGTAAGCCTCCCACCAAACATAATGTGTGATGTTTTCTAGACCCATCAAGAATGGAAGGCATTTTGAGAAAAGACCAAAAATGTCATGTTGGAAGGCATTATTGAGTAATAGCCTCAGGGCCCACCTCTTTTTGCACGACTTTTCTATTGGGAACCATTGCTCTTAAGGTTCCCTCCTTATGCAGTGACATGACACTCTGCTCTGATAAAGGACTCAGTCCACCCAATGCCGGTGAGCATAAGTCAGAAAGTGTTGCTACAAGATCATAGACTTTATCAAACAGAAACATCAAAACTATGAAGCTATGATTTCTTTCTTCTCCCCTGGTTCTGTGCCCTTCTGAGAGCAGTGCTTCCAGCTCTCTAACCCTCTTGTTTTTGCATCATGTCGAAACAGCACTTTGGGCATCTTTGAGGAACTCAAATTGTGTTCCTTTGAAAAACTCTTTGCATTTGGGGAGCAGAAAGAAGTCCGAGGCGAAGGCGAGTGATGTAAAGTGGATGGAGGAAGGGTTCCCGATGGCAGTCTCCTAGGACAGCCTGCTGCTGCCCTGGAAGAAGGAGCGAGTGTGCTGTAAAGATGGAAAAAACTTCTCTGCACAACTTTCCTGGTCTTTGTCTCACTAGTGCAGTTTTCAGTCTTTATAAAACTTCTTAACAACAATCCCCTGTGATCATCCTGTTTCTTCAGAGGAAATCCTATCAAGATGACTCCTCTGGAATTTCAGAAAACAGTCCCTGTAACCTTCTGACCTGGCCCCTCTGCCCAGCAGATCTGTCTGGAAGCAATGTTTTGATTGGACCTTGTATTAAGGCCGAATGGCCCTAGCTCAAAGGAGAAAGGCTTTCCCATCCCAGAAACAGCTTCAGTCTCGGAAACTCACAGGGGCAGTGCCACTCTGCCCTACAGGGCTGCTATGCGTCCGAATTGACTCGAATTCAGTCAGTGAGTGCATGAGGAGGGCTGCTAACCACAGGTCAGCAGTTCGAAACCATCAATGGCTTCATGGGAGAAAAATGAGGCTTTCTACTCCAGTAAAGAGTTACAGTCTCAGAAACCCGCAGGGGTAGTGATCAGTTCCCCCCTCCCTCCCCCTCCCCTTACCCTCCTGGTATCACTACTCTCCTTATTGGACCTGAGGGGTTTATTTGTCCTGGATTCCCTCTGTTTCAAGCCCTTATCTGTACCCATGTACATGCTCTAGTCTAGCTGGATTTGTAAGGTAGAATTGGGATCATGATCGTGGGGGAGGAAACATTAAAGAAATAGAGGAAAGTCGCATGTTTCATCCGTGCTATACTGACACCCTGGCTGGCTCGTCTCTTCCTTGTGACCCTCTGTAAGGGGGTGTCCAATGGCTATAAATCTTTATGGAACTTATCTTTTTTGCCCTGACAGTGCAACTCTGCTTCTCCCAGGAGGGCGGAGCAGTGTAACTCTCGTCCCTTCTGTCTGTCTCGCAGATTTTGGTATGACGAGAGATATCTATGAGACTGACTACTACCGCAAAGGAGGGAAGGGGCTGCTGCCGGTGCGCTGGATGTCTCCCGAGTCCCTCAAGGATGGCGTCTTCACCACTCATTCTGATGTTTGGTAATGACCTTTTTCCCCCCCTGCCATGCGGCCCCTGACCCTCCAGCCTTCTCGTCTTTGTGTTTCTGTTTCCACTCATTTCCAGCTTTTTCTAAATGGTGTATGAGCCATACTTCTTGAAGGGATTCTCGTTACCGGTGGGCTAACTAAGAACAGAGGGCATTTGTGGGCCTCTAAAGAATTTGAGGGATCAGTGTTTCTTTTGATCCTTATCAGCTCTCTCTCCTGTGCACTAAGCCAAGGCAGGCCAGTCTCGAACCCTGCACTCCTCTTTGCTTGCCTGCTCTCCCTTTGCCTCCTGTCACTGAACAGACATGAGGTGGCTGTGTATAGCCACCTCCTGTATTTCAGGCTTCAGATTATAGGCAGTCCTTTATTTAGACCCCAAACGTAGGAGTCTTGATTGTGCACCTGTTGAATGCCCTCGGGCATCCACATTGTTGGCCCGAGGATAGAAGGGGAATCAAGATATAATAAAACGTGTCTTGTGGTAGAAGCTCATCAGCTGAGGAGGCAGAGGATTCTAAATAGTACTGTTTACTGATGTTCCTCAGCAACGTAGTGGAGAGGTATTCATGTTCTTGGCAGGCAGAGCCCTTGGCACATCTATCGTCTTAATTTCCTGGCTTTCCCTCCGAAGAGATCTCACAGCCGATGTGTTCCAGAGATGAGACTTGTTGGCTCCAGCTGTCTGGATGACCACATAGAAGGGCTATTAAGTAGTGACTAACATCATTTTTTAACATCATGAACTTTCCACAGTTCAAGGGCCTTGGATCTTACTTTTAAGACAGGTGCAAATTGAAAATAGCATGTGTATGTGGCCCAGTAAGGCGGAGTTGCTTCTTGACCTCTAGTAGAAGATTTGTTTTGCCGTCAGCCTATCTAAGATATTTGTGTTTGCACTGTCAAATCAAAGAGCAGTGCACCCTCTTTAAGGATGGAGGGGACTGATTTGGGCGTATGCGTACATCTGCTTGCCCTGGGCTCTTTCTCCAAAGGCTCAGAGGTCTCCTTATAGCACAATGAAATAGAAATCTCTTAAGAGCCAGGGTTATTAGTAATATCTTACAGACTACCTTTACCCGAATTCTGGTTAGAAACTGCAGCAACAAAGAGACATACTAGGAGTTCAAAGATTCTACCACGATAATGAACCAATGAGAAGAAAGTACATACAGTGAGAGGCTCATGTTAGGCTCCATCAAGTTGGTTGCAACTTAATAATGGCCCTGTGGCACCCAGAACGAAACTCTGGTTGGTCCTGCCCCCACGCTCACCATTGTGGTGATGTCCGAGCCCTGGATTGCAGCCGCCCCGTCAGTCCATTTGTCCAAGGCCTCCCTGTTTTTGGCTGCCCCTCGACTTCACCAGGCGCGCGGTCCTGGAAAGGGCACCGGGGGAGGAGGCACTTGGTGTTCATTCCCTTGCTTGTGCCAACCTTTGAGGGACCCTCAGTGGGGCAGGAGTGCAGACCTGGGATGGATGGACGTTTTCTCGGCCAAAGCGAAGCTGCCCCTCGGGAAGAAATAGAATTCAGAATACTGAATAGCGCAAACCTCTTTCTCCCGATAACTAGAATCTAGAACAAAATTAAGTAAAGGCTTTTAGTTGACCTTGTTGAAGGGCCAGGCAGTAGGACTGCATCATTTAGCACAACCGGCAGAGATGTCTGTGTCCGCACGTTGGTCTAGTTCAGCTCGGTTTCCAGTTGTTCTTCAAAACCTGGGTAGGCAAAAACGGCAGGTGGGGCCCAACTGCCCGCCGTCATGTGGGACGGTTCCCTTCCTCGGCTGCCCCTTTCTCCTGTAGGCCAAACTCGAGGCTCAGGGCCTCTGATGCGTGCCTGTGAGCAGCGCTGCCTCGGCTCAGCTGGTGCAGGGCCTTTGCCCTTGCCCGGCTAGTTCTTAGGGTCCCTGAAGAGCTTCTTCCCGTGCCAGGCACAGCCCCCACCCAAAACCCATGAGAACAGGTCTTCTGCTGGGACCCTGGCATCAGTATGTTTGAAAACATCCCCAGAAGGTCTCATATGTACCCAACACTGAGACCATCGGATTGTCAGAACAATTTGGAGAGCTTGTCCCCGGACAAGCAGTATTATTCTTGGGATGCAGCAACTTTGGGAAGTATTGTCCTGCCGGTGAAATGGTTGGCTGTGCTCTGCACTCCGTGTGCCCTTGGCCCAAACCGAAGCGCAAGGACTGCTGTGTCGTGTTCCCGGACTTCCCTTCCCCAGTCTGCCGCGGGAACTAGATTGACAGGAAGCCTGTCCAGTAACAAGTGAGGGCCACCGCTGCGCATCCATCCCAGCGTCCGGAGTGTGCTCTGGGACGGGGGCTGTCACAGAAACAGGCTGGATCTCATTCCACAGTTGAGAAGGTTGGAAGGGGAATGCTGAGGCCCATCCATCCCTTCCCAAGCGGCTCACTCTCTTTTCTCGGTGCAGGTCCTTCGGCGTGGTCCTCTGGGAGATCGCCACTCTGGCTGAGCAGCCCTACCAGGGTTTGTCCAATGAGCAAGTTCTTCGCTTCGTCATGGAGGGCGGCCTTCTGGACAAGCCGGACAACTGCCCGGACATGCTGTACGTATCTCCTGGGCCCCCGCGCTCCTTCCGATCCTCCGGCTCCAACAGTGGTGTTCATGCATCAAGGGAGATTGGTCAGACTGAGAGCAAAGGCACTCGCAAGAGGGTTGAGGTGGTTGGGACGTAGTTTGTGTAGAAAGAGGGGTAGGTTGATGTGAGGAAACAGGCACCATCATCTACCCCTCACACTCAGCCGTTTAGTTAGATTTGCAGTGACACCGTGGGGTTTTAGGCCAAACTTGACTGTTAAGGCACGTTGAAAAGCCAACCCACCCCCAGCCTTCGGCAGACGTCAAGGACTGCCACTGTTTGGCCAGGCGTTCCTCGTGGACTGAGCGGGCTAAGCTTGAAACCCCTTCCCTTAGATAGTGCCAACACATCGCCATCCTTAAAGGGGCCCGAAAGGTTCCTTTCCTGTGAAGGTTTACAAAAGTCATACAGTGGCACGCTCCCGGGAGCTCCCAAGGGTGGCCGGGGTGGGCTCGGAGCATGCTCTACCTGCAGACACATCCTGGGCACACACAGCTTCCAGTGCTGCGAATTGGTCTCTCCACGTGAGACTGCACGCGGCCTCAGGACCACGTGGGCTCAGCATTCTCAGACTCTGTCGGGAGAGGGCTGGCTCTGCTCTCTGGGGACACGTGCTTCGTGGCAGTTGGAGCTCCCAGCGGTGCATGGACCTCATGGTCTTCCGTGTCCACGAAGGTGTGGGGTACTTGGGTGGGTGTCCTCGTGCGCAGGGCCAGTGTGGTTGGAAGCGGTGGGCTTGTTTCTGAGATGTGCACTAGGCAGGGCTCAGAGATTTTTCTGGATCCCACAAGGTGAAGGTCAAGACCAGTCTCTAAGTTTTTCTGGAGTGCCTTTGAGGACAGGGTCGGCTGTACTGCCACAGAGGAATTGTTCTGTGTATACAACACCCTATCTGTCTGCCCGCCCCTCCGGATCCGTACGCATGGCAAGCGCGGACTCGTTGACCAGCAGCCCTGAGAGCTTTGCTTCTCCCGTCTGCCCATTTCCTTGACCCAGGAATCCAGACCAGGTGTGCCGGCGCTGCGCTCAGGGTGTCACAAGGCTGACATCCAGGTGTCAGCTGGGACTGCAGCTTCCTCTGAGACCCAGGGTCCTCCTTCCTCTCCCAAGCTCCCCCAGGTTGTTGGCAGCATTGAGTTCCACCGGGGCTCTCGTTCTCTTGCTGGTTTGTTCTTGGTGCCCAGAGACTGCTTCCTGGTCTTGACACCCACGCTCCACCACCGCCTCCTCGGGAGACCCCCTCGCAGCGTAGCAGCTCACTTCAAGGCCAGACTGTGCGACTTTCACGATCGTTTTCATCTGCTTAAGCCAGACCCGCCCAGGATAATCTCCCTTTTGATGAGAACATCAGACAGCCCCTCAGATTCACAAGCCCCACCCACACTCAAGGCTAAGGCTAAGAAGGGGCATGTACAGCAAGGGCCGAGGTCTTCACAGCCACCCCAGAATTCTGTGCACCACAGTCTCCAGAGCAGGATCCATTGCTCCATCTACGACTAAGCATGGTTGATAGCACTTGGTGTTGCTTCCAAGACTGACCCCTGCTCTCCGTGTAAATAAAGGTGGTGAGCCTCGTCTCCTGACTTTGGCTGTGGAGCTGAGAGGCACTCCGAGCTGTGGAGACGGGCGGGCGGAGTAGCCCCATGCTGCAGGAGTGTCCTCACTAGGCATCACGGGCCTGAGCTGCTGCTCGGTCTGCCCGGTGGATCGCACCGTCCTCTCACTGCATGCACAGGGTCCTGGCCAGGAAGGTAGCTCATGCCTGATGCTGGGGCAGGCCCTCAGGGCCCAGGACTCTATTTCCTGAGGAGCCGTGCACTCAGGATTCCCCAGTCTGTCACGGAAGGGGCCGCTCCAGAACTGCTGGACCCAAAGTTAGAAGGGACTTCAAGTCCATGCGTTCGTTTCTCGCCCAACATGGACACTTTCTGTCTCTCCCCATCCGCCTCCCTTCCCCTCCTCCCTCCTGCCCTCCCACCCTCTCTCTCTGTCACCATCTGTATTAGCAGTGTAATAGCGTAAAAAGCAATCACATTTACTAACAGAATTTCAAAAGGTCAGAAAGCAGAGTTCTGGCTCTCGGTCCTCTGTGAGTTTTCAGTCAGTCGAAGGTGTTTCTGGAGCTGGCAGGGCTGCGTCCAGGTGGCACACGTAGGGCCCCGTGACCTGCAGCCAATGTTCCCTGGAGGAGGGCTCTGTCGACTCTCTAAAGGACCGAAAACCAAGCTCACCGCCATCAACTCACAGCCACCCTAGAGGACACAGTAAAGCTGCCCCTGTGCGTTTCCAAGACGGTCACACTTCATGGGCGTGGAAACCCCACTTTTCTCCCCTCTAAAGGACCAGGGAGTAAATACTTTCAGCTCTGCAGACTACATATTCTCTGCCAACAGCTACTTAATTCTGCTCTTGTAGCGAGAAAACAGCCATGGATGGACATTACATAACATGTATGACTGTGCTTCAGTGATACTTTACTTGGGGATGCCCAAACTGGGATTTCAGCTCATTTTCATGTGTCATGAAATATTTGGATTATGATGTAAACACACACACACACAAACCAACATTTACACATGTAAAAGCCGTAGTTCACAGACCTTTCAAAAATAAGTCTGGTGTGGTCCCCAGCCCCCTCGTGGCCTTCCCTGTCCCAGCCTTCGTGGCTGGAGGACGGGTCTGAGGCATCTCCTGACTCGTCTCAGCTTCACTCCATCACCTCTTCCGTCTCCTTTGCATCATGGGGTCCATCCTGCTCCCTGCCGTCAGGGTCTGCCTAGGGCATGGCAGCAAGAGGCAGGACTGCCGAGGGGCTGGACGGAGGAAGGCCAAAGGGAGGAAGGAGGCAGCCCTGAGTGCTGACGGCACACGGCTAAGTGCTCGGCTAGTTGTTGGAACCATTACTAGCTCTCTGGGAGGAGGTTGTGGTACCGTGTATTCATAACGATGATACACCCTGTAGAGTAATTCGGCTCCGTTCTCTACGGTCTCTGAGTGGGTTTGGTTTGGGGTTAAGAAAAGGGTAAAAAGAGAGGTGGTCAGCGGTTTCATAGAGCAGTAGGGACGCAGTGCTCTGGGAGAGGGGTTCTTGTGTTTCAAGAGATGAAAGAACGGGCAAAGCCGATGCCAGAACAGAAGAAACTTGACAGCCTTATGGGGGGTGCTGGAGAAGCCTGTAGACACAAGCCGTGGGAGAGAAATGACTTCAGCGGTCAGCTCCAGAGGCCTAAACAGGAATGTAGGGGAAGCTTGGGAGGCCCAGGAGCTGCTGCAGGCTTCCAATCAGTACCTGGAACTAACCTCCGGGAAACCAGTTGCCTGGGGAGTAGCTAGGCCCCACCCTTTCCGGATCACAGGATGCTCAGGCTTAGACCAGGCCTCTAGTACAAGGCCCAGAGTATCAGCTCCGTGAGTCTCCGTGCCATGGCTTAGTTTGAATTAAGTCAGCAAGCATGATAGCATCAGCTGCAGGCAGGCCGTGGCATGCTGGTGGGTTCACATTGTAGATCCACAGTGAGGCCCTTCCTTGACTCCCTCTCACATTCATGTCTCAGTACTTTTCCATAGCGGCATTGAGTGAACACCCCTGGGGATGTGGTGATGGCTAGAGTGACAGAGGGAGGAGGACTGGCCCTAGCTTTCACACAGCCCGGCTAGGCATGGAACCAGCTTTGTGGCTGCACACGGGAGAAGGCCTAGAGCCGAGGTGTGAACGAACCTGAACTACTCAGGGGAAGGAACCAACCCTTCGTTCTGCTCCCCAAACTCCCACAGCGCCTCTGGCCAGTGTTCCAGCCTGCACAGGCTCCAGTGCGCAGGACTCAGGAAACGATGTACATTTTCGAGTCCAAAGAATCATCAACTCATAGATGAGTTTGCAACAATCTCAGGAGAACCTGACTGTTTATGCCGTTTTCAAAATGTTTGTTCTTGTTGCTGATGAAAGTCCCCACGTTGTGGGGAATCCTAGGATGTTTTTTCAGGAATCGCGGGTTTGAGTTGGCGTCTAATCAGGCAACAGGGGCCACTTTCTGCCCCCTTGGCCCTGGAATGAGTTTTTGTTTGTTTTTTTCAAGGTCAGCAGGCCTCCTCTCTGACATTAACGAGGCAAATCGCCATATCCAGAGACGGGTGACTCGGGATCTGGGGGTCAGTGACATGAGCACACCTAGCAAGCCCTGCCCCTTTCTGGAATCGGGGCACTGTGGTGTCCTTACCGGACCAGGGTTGTGCTAACAGTGGGCAGCGGGATGTTTGGGTCCCAAGGTGCCCATGTGCATCTGGCTGCCTGATGCCCAGCACAGACCACAGGGAGCCCAGGGAGCAGCGTGTGGACCCAGCAGAGGGACCCAGGCCTCCTCCTTCCTCTCTCAGACCCGACGGTCACTCAGCTAAGAGGCTGCATTCTGGTTGCTGTCCTGTTTCCTCCTCTGGTGAAGGGCATCATGCCCACCTCCCCTGCATGTGGGAGAAGCCAGTCTGTCGTACAAGGAGGGCGTATGCACTTGCCAGAACTAATTATTTATAACAAGCTTTTGAAAACCATTTCATCACCTCATAAATCGTTCAAGAGGCTACTGGAAAATGTTCCTGTTGAGATAGTGTAAGCAAAGCCTTGATTCCTGCAGAGTAAGAAACAACAAAACAAAAACAGTGGCCTTCTATGGGCAGCATGGCCAGGGCTGTGAACCTGGAAGGGTTTCAGAGAGGCACCCTGTGGCTTGATCGTGCAGGTGCTGCCCACCTCCTTTCCCCAGCCCTGGCCCCTCGTCAGCCCCTCAGCGCCACATGGACACTGGCACAGTGCGTGCGCTTGGGCTGGCCATGACTCTATTCAGGGGTAAGTGGGCCAGCCAGGGAGGGATGACAGCAGAGCAATAGAAAGGAAGTTATGTACGTGTGGCCGCATACGTCAGTTTTTTCTAATGCTTTCTCTTGGGAAGCGATAGAGAGTGGGTGCAGGCGGGTAGGCATTTTGCAACCTGAATATAGAGGGAGAAAACAAACGAGCTGCCAGTCTCTGGATTCGAACCCCCACAACACCCAGGCTGTTGTACATCCCACCAGCATCTCCTGGTGGGATGCTGGTCAGTAACAGGGTTGAGGGAAAACTTGTTTTTTCTGAGGAAAGTGTTGATCTGTGTGTGGCCGTGGAAAGCACAGTTATGCACTTGCGCTCCATCCCAGCTCCACTCTCACTGATTTGTAACTTAAAAAAAAATTTTTTTAATCACTTTATTAGGGGCTCATACAACTCTTATCACAATCTATACATACATCAATTGTCTAAAGCACATTTGTACATTCATTGCCCTCATCATTCTCAAAACATTTGCTCTCCACCTAAACCCCTGGCATCAGCTCCTCATTTTTCGCCTCCCTCCCTGCTCCCCCCCCCCTTCCTTGTGAACCCTTGATAATTTATAAATTATTATTTTGTCATATCTTTCCCTGTCCGACGTCGCCCTTCACCCAGTTTTCTGTTGTCCATCCCCCAGGGAGGAGGGTTTTTTTTGGTTTGTTTGTTTGTTTGTTTGTTTTTAATCATTTTATTAGGGGCTCATACAACTCTTATCACAATCCATCTGTACATCAATTGTGTAAAGCACATTTGTACATTCATTGCCCTCATCATTCTCAAAACATTTACTCTCCACCTAAGCCCGTGGCATTGGCTCCTCGTTTTCCCCTTCCCTGCCCCCTCCCCCAACCCTCATGAACCCTGATTTGTAACCTTGGACCAAGTGTTTGATCTTTCCCTGCTTCTGTTTTGTCACCTAAAGGAGGAGTAATAGTACCTACTTCAGACTTGGGGAGACTAAAGTGGGACACACACATAAAACTTGTGAGTGCAACCCACGCAAAGCAGTGGTGAGTGCTTCCTGTTGTTGGCTGATGGACAGGGCAATTCTTGGGGATGGGGGAATAAGGTGTCCTCTAGAGACTATTCCATTGCTGTTGCCTCAATGCTGACTCCTGGCGACCCCATTGGACAGAGGAGCCTGCGCTGTCGGGCTGGGGAGGCTGCACATCTTTACGGAACACTAAGCAGTCACTTTCTCCTGCGGAACAGCTGGTGTAGCCCGGTTGCTGACCTCTCAGTGAGCAGCCTACCAAACACCTAACCCCCCAGGCTGTAAGGGCTTTCTCTGCCTGCAGAGCCGCAGGAGTCACCACACTTCCACTACAAAGGGCCAGACAGTCAATATCGTAAGCTTACAGCCCAGAGAGTTTATGCAGCAGCCACTCAACTCAGTGACAGACAGAGTGGCCCTAAACGAATGGGCGTGGCTGTTCGAAGAAACCCTGATTCACATGCACCGGCAGTCGGCTGGGTTTGGCCCGAGCTGTAATTTGCTGATCCCTGCTCGAGAACATTGAATGTGGATGGATCTCCCGCTTTCCCATCCCCACTCTTCCTCAAGGTGAAGCGCCCCTCCCTTGATTGTACTGGCCTCCTTTCCCCCATGTCACTTAGTTACCTGGCCAACCTGCATGCCCTTCCTCTCTCCAGACCAGCCTGCATGCCTTTCTCCTGTAGGAATTTCCTCTGGGGCCACCTTAAGCTGTTGGCCAACTCTGACAGAGGCTACATACAAGTTTGCTCAGCTTTGAACTTCCTGGAGGTAGGGCGTTCCACTGGGCCATTTTTATTGAAGAGCTGCTCTCTGGGCCGACTCTTTTAAACCCAGTAAAATGTTTGGAGAGAACGAGGTGGAAGGAAGGCCTGTGTGCTCGTGGGAGAGGCCTGCCTTCATGGGTGTCCTGCTGCCAAGCAGAAGGTTGCTCTGAAGACCTTTGTAGCTGGGTCTCTGCACACTGGGTGGATAGGACATAGCCGCTCTTCCTGCGACCATTCTGAACTGTCATCAGGGCTCTGGCATTTCCTGGGCACAGCAGCACCTCACACCCCTTTTCTCCTTCCCCATGTGGCTTCCTGCTCCCATGAGGGCTCAGTCTCTCTGCTGCCGAGGTTCTCCTTTTGCCCACGTGACTCAGTGAGGGCTGCACACCTGCTCTCTGCCTGTCCCTTGCTGGCAGCGGGGACTTTTTCACAGGCGCGCCCTCTGCGGCTTCAGGTCTGCAGCGGACCACTAACTCTGCTCATGTAGCCTCAGTTCGTGGCCCAGCCTCTGTCTGTGGGGGCCTTGCAGCAAGCAACCTCAGCCCCTGGAGCTGTGTTGAGACCACCAACATGGAGGACAAGCCCCGTGTGTTCTGTAGCTCTGCCGCCTCATAATGCCTGTGACATCAGGTTCTCTGTCGGTGGTCTCTCTGCCACCAAGGAAAGCTTGTCCATAGTAGAGGTGGACTACAAAAAGGGGGCTCCCCCTCACTGGAGACCAAGAGGGTGCATAAGCAAGTGTGGTGAAGAAAGCTGATGGTGGCTGTCTATTAAAAGATAGAGAGTCCAGGATCTTAATGGCTTGAAGTTAAACAAGCGGCCATCTAACAGGAAAGCAATGAAGTCCACTTGGAAGGAGCACACTAGCCTGTGTGATCACGGGGCGTTGAGAGGAAAAGGTATCAGAAGTTCAACAAGCAACCGGGTTTATGTGAAGGAGCACAAAGTGGAGACCCAAAAACCCAACTGTGAGATAGTGGATCGCCCCTCCCAGAAGGGCCACAGGAAAGGGGTGATGCCAGGGTGCAGTATAGCACTGTTGAAACACATAACAACCCTCTAGTCCTTTCATGGTTCCTTCCTCTTCTATTATGGTCTTAGTTTTACCTCATTAATCCTGTTAGACCTGCGTATGTTGATGTGTGTCATTAAGATTGCTCAATGCATGAAATCTAAGATAGATAAACCCTTCAGGAATTGTAATGGGAGTAATGATTCCCTGAGGGTACAGGAAGTGGGGGGGGGGCGACTGATAACAATGATGCCTACATAACCCATCTCAAGAAGAACGAACAACAGAATGGCATGTGAGTGGATATATTGGCTGGTGTAAGATGAGGGGGAACAAAAAGGGATAACAATAATGATATTTAATATAATAACAAGGGTTTTTGCAGGGGAGAGTGGGAATAAAGGGAAGCTGATACCAGAGAGTTTAAGAAGGAAGAAAATGATGGTGGCAACAATTGTATGATCATGTTTGATCTAATTGAATTGTGGATTGTTATAATATCCCCCCCCCCCAATAAAATGGGTGGGAGAAGGGGGAGGAGGACCACCCATCTGTGCATCTGAGTTCTCGAAATCATGTTTGAACCCCTGGAGGCAAGAGCTGCTTCAAACCGAAACCTGGTTACTTTGTTATTGCTTTTTTTGAAAAGCTTTCGGTTAAACCTTTTGTTAGTATTAGCCATGTCATGTTGAAGAACACATGGCATGATGGCCACAGTGTGTGTGCAGACGTGCCGCCTTCGAGAGAGTTTGCATTTGCTGTGTTGGGTCACAGGGTCTGGATGAGGTGAGAGGCTGGGTGGGCTGGGATGTGAAACGTAGCAGCTGAAGGATACCTACTTCTTCAGGATAGAAAGCCAGACACGTCCCGAGAGAGGGCACCTGGTCCTTCGTGACCCCGTCGTACACATGTCCAGGGGGAAGACCCTCCAAGTGCGTAGGCCCTTCCGGTCTGGCCTCATCTCTCTGTCTGTCTGCGTTTAGGTTCGAGCTGATGCGCATGTGCTGGCAGTACAACCCCAAAATGAGGCCTTCCTTCCTGGAGATCATCAGCAGCATCAAGGATGAGATGGAGCCTGGCTTCGAGGAGGTCTCCTTCTTCTATAGTGAGGAGAACAAGCCCCCTGAGCCGGAAGACCTCGACCTGGAGCCAGAGAATATGGAAAGTGTCCCTCTGGACCCCTCTGCCTCCTCGTCCTCCCTGCCGCTGCCCGACCGACACTCAGGACACAAGGCTGAGAACGGCCCAGGCCCCGGGATGCTGCTGCTCCGCGCCAGCTTCGACGAGCGACAGCCTTACGCGCACATGAACGGGGGGCGCAAGAATGAGAGGGCCTTGCCTCTGCCCCAGTCCTCCACCTGCTGATCCGAAGATCGCGCCACCGTGCAGACCGTAATGTGTGTGCACCCTTGGCAGTGGGGAGGAGGTGGGGTGGGGGGGGAACATAGTCAAAAGCTTCTGTACCTCAGTGGATCTTCAGAGCCGCCATTGCTGCCCATGGGAGACGGCTTCTCTTCAGAAAACACTCTTGGGATGTCCCTTTTCCAATATGCAAGTAGCTCTTCATTTGCCTAACCAAACCCTCCAACTGACATGGGCCTTTAAGCACCTGCGCGAGACCACACGTAATAGCCACAGAGCACTTGAGAACCTATTTTCTTATGCGTTCCCTGGTTCCTTTCTCTCTCTCTCTCTCTCTCTCTCTCTCTCTCTCTCTCTCTCTCTCTCTCTCGCTCTCGCTCTCTGTTGCGTTTCTCTTCTCTGCTTCCGAACACAAGCATGTTTGCCACAATCTAGCGTTGACACCCTTCTTACCAGATTGAGAAACAGCCTATACAGGTGGTTCCCAAGTACCCTGCCCACACCTGCCTGACCCTCTAGGTCTTTATCAACACTAGGTGGGACTGAATTTTTTAACTCTTGCATCTTTAACCTTTTGAGTGAAATACACAATTTTTAAAAGGCCATCACTCATCTGAGTTTGTTTCTTAACGCTGCCAAATTTTGCCAAACTCCACGTCTTTCTCCCGCACCCTTTTTCTTATTTCCCGAGACATAGAGAGGGCCTTTATGACTCTGCTTAGAGGAATCCTGGGGATGCTCTCCACCTGACCACTCCCTGGTGTGCCCTTAGCCTCACGTGCACAGTGAGCTACTTGTGCTTAGCTAGCTCGGGGGTGGAGGACCTGGAACAATGGGGGAGCTGTGCTGGCTGCTTTGGGCCACCTCCCCACTGCCCAGCTCCCTCTAGCCCCCAGGAACAATGGAGAGCAGGAGCCCTGTCGAGCCTGAGACACAGGCTGGGAGCAAAGGTCGTCCTCTTGGCAGTCTCCCAGTCCCATCCTCTCCCGACCCCAAGGACCCGGATGGGCTAGGGTTTCCAGGGGCTCAGCCCAGCCATTGATGCAGGTGTGCAAGGGAAGATTCAAACGCCCCCACCACAACATGAAGCAAAGCAGTAAATGGATTCAAGCATTCTAAGCTTTGTTGATATTTTCTCTGTTACTAGGACTTCTTCATGGTTCTTACAGTTCTATGTTAGACCATGAAACATTTGCATACGCATTGTCTTTAATGTCACTTTTATAACTTTTTTACGGTTCAGATATTCATCTATACGTCTGTACAGGAAAAAAAAAGCTGCTATTTTTTTCGTTCTCTATCTTTGTGGAATTAATCTGTAATAACTTTCAGGTCTGCCCTCTGCCCTTTCTGCTCACTCCAAGAAACTTCTGTGCTGTGTACTGGAGTTTGTGACTCCCTCCCTCTTTCCCCAGCAATTGATAGTCACATAACATCGTTTCCCATGAACTGTTGATGCCTGTCATACACACACCCGCCCTGCCCTTCACCCCCCCATTCGTTGTTTTCTAACGTATAGGCTCTGTGGGCACAGGTTGGTAAGGAAACAGGCTTGGAGGAAGACCGGAACCCATCCCTCCTGGGGGGGCCGTGGCCCCCTCTTTCCTTAGCCGGCTCTCACACAGCATTCGACTCTGTTACCGTACAAGACATGACACAAACTCAGGTCAGAAAGAAAGGTTCAGTGTTTGCACACCCTTGTTCAGTGTTTCTAGCCCCCGCTGTTGAAGCCTCACCTCCCCCCCACCCCCCCACACACACACCTCCACTTCTCCTCCAGCCTTGGTTTTGGTTGTGACACACATATATATATTTTTTTAATTCTTGGGTACAACAGCAGTTTTCACTGCAGACAGTAGGCATTTAGGCTACTATTTTTTTAAGTGGATATTTGCCCTTCCATCCCATGAGAAACAGCTGCTGAGCCCAAGGGTGTAGCTGACGGGGGTCCCGCAGGCCCCTCTGTGTGGCTTTCAGCACTAGCGTTCCCACACCAACCAACCTGCCTTCAGAGGTGGAGGCTCCCACAGGCCTTCAAAACGTGTGCTCCCAGCGGCCCCAGGGCAGGAGCGTCAGTGTTGTTGCCTCTCTGCCACCATGTCAGGCAGGCCTGTCCCCTGCCCTCTGGGCCGGGAGCCACACTCCCAAAGTCGGGGGGACAGGGGGCTCGCTTTGTCTGGTGCACTCCTCACCAGAGGGAGGGAGGGCGGCAGGGCGGCATGAGAGTTGCTCCTGGGATGGAAATATTTAATGACGAGTGAGAACAAAGGTAAAATAGCATTGCTAGGTGTGACTGGAGAGTCCACAAAAGAGACTTGCTGAGGTTTTTTGCTTGTCAGTCGTTCCAGTCCTCTTATTTTGTCTGGCCACTGTCCCATGGATTTTCCTCTCAAAAAGGAAATAAGGAGACAGAAGCAAGTTCATTCGGAAGGTGTTACGCGTAGTTCCATTTTATCCTGTGATCGAGTTTCGGTCACCATGGAGAAGCCCCATTATGAGTTTAGTTGCTGAAGAAAGAGTCTTTGCATGTGTGTTTCTGATGGGACAGTTTTGGTTTTTTTCCCCCCAAACATTTATCTACCTCACTCTTATTTTTTTAATGCATATATAGTAAAAAAAAAAAATACATCTCACATTTCTCAGCAGCTGACAATATGCCAACGATCCTGGTAACCTCATCCACACCACAGGCCCCACACACCGGGGCGAGGGGAGAAGCCCGGCTGTGTGCTGGGGTCAGCACCACCGGCTCTTCCCCGCGCATTACCAAACAGCTTGCCTCCTCCTGAGATGTCCTGGTTTGGTTGCTTTTGTACTTTCCCCCAACTTCGAGGTGGCAGCGAAGTGAAGTGTTCAGGTTTTCCTTCCCCACCCGGAAGCCCGGGGAGCCCAGGGCCCTCTGCAGTCAGACCCACAAGACCACCAGAGTGCAAAACAGGGAGACCAGCAGGCTGCCCCAGGCCGCTTCTCTTTAAAACAACGTGCTCCGTGTAGACTGGATGAGGAACAGGCTTCCTCTTAGAAAGAGCTGTTGTGGTTTGGGGTTTGTAGGTCAAGAGGGATGCCAGTCAGGTGTGGCAGTGTGTTAGATCCCATGTGCAAGTGGGCAGTGGTTGGAGTCCCGTCCTGCCCACTCCTCAGATGTCCATGCAGTCCTGGCCCGGGCCCGGCATGCTGCTATATTTGTTCAACTCAAAGGTGCAGCCTGGTTGTGATGTGAGAGCCTGACCCTCCCACCCTTACCGTAGAGAACACGGCTTCCTGGCATAACAGCCCACCCAGTAGAGCATATACGGAGAGACAAGGCCCCCCCTCCCTTTCCAGACTCTTCCCAGCTTCCCTCTCCTCCTCCTCCCCGAGAGGAGACTCAAGACCTAGGGAGCCTTCTTGGTGGACGGGCTGGTGACGGCACCCAAGTGTGGAGCCTCCCGCCACGCACTGTGCCACCGCTGCCAGGTGTGGAAGCTGCTGCCCTGCGAGCAGCGGCTCTTCAAGGCCCTGGGACTGGGTTTGGAGAGCATGGTGGGTGCTTCTCCCACACCTGGATATCTTTAAAGTCACAGTCCCCCGGTTAAGCTCAGGAGCGTTTTCCCTCCTGCAAGAACACTACCCTCTGTTCCCGAGTCCTCTGGGATGTTAAAGATCATGGAAAATAGTGATCAGGGTTTCTCCCACGATGTTGCTGACCCCTTAGAGTAGTGACCTCCCCACTCTTTTGCACATACTTACCCGTTCCACAACTGGATTTCTACAGATCACTCAGCTGGCTACAAGGGTTCTGTTTAAACTGTCCGAGTGTTGGTGTCCTTCCGTTTTTGTTGTAGCGGGCGGTTTTTCTCTTAAGTAGGAAGAAAACACTAATAGTGCAGTGCCTATCGTAACAAGTGCTGCGGGAACCTGAAACAAAAGGCAAGTAGCTCCCGTGAGGGTGCAGTCTTTGTACTGGACAAATCACCCACCTGGCTGCACCCGGGCATCAACCAGTCACAGTTCTGGCCGCTTCCGTGCTGATCGTCCCACTTCTCCGGGATCCCCTCTTTGGGGTGCTCCAAATCGTTTCCTAGATCTTGAGTCGCGGCATTTTCCGTGCACCCTCCTCCTGCCGGCAGACCAAACTGCTTAAAACAAGATGAACCACTGAGGCCCATCATTGGATTGCCGTGAGCAGGAAAACTCATCCCCTTCGGCTCTGCCCTGAGGCAGCAGAAGCTGGTTTATTCTGGAGACTTTGAACTCCAACTGGGTGAGACCTAGGCCAGCCGGGTCTCCCTGCGTGAGAGCAGGATGCTGATGTTTGACATGCAGCTGGAATGAGCTTCCTCCTCGGAAGATAGGAGACCATGTGCGTCATAACACTGGCCTCTCTTCCGGCTGAGGATGACTCCGAAACATCAATGATAGGAAAAGTGGCTTGAGCAAAATAGCCAAGTCGTTACAGTGGAATTCCCAAATGGCAGGACGCTTGGTATGAAGGGGCATGTATCGGTTGAGATGGCAAACGTTTAAGCCAAGTATGCTGCCAAATTGTGGGTCACTTTGTTCCACTGAAGCCTCACTGTCAGCAGCCCATCTTTGTGGGTCGTAGGTGGTCCTACACACACCACGCGGGCTGCGGGGGGGCAAGGTCACACTGGGCTCAGACCAGTGAGCGGGCCAGAATGCCCAGTCCAATGTCCTTAGCTGTCACTGTGGGGTCCTCCTGGGGCGGCCAGATGATACTGAAGGCAACGCCTTTCCAAAATAATGACCCCCTCCAGTTGACAGTAATAAGCCATGACATGCCTTGGCCCATTCTAGCATTGCATTTCAGGTTTGAGATTTGTTCTTTTTTACCATTACTTGTGTTTTAGCTATTTTTCATTTCCTGAGCTAAGCAACATTGGCAGCTATAGACCAGTGATTCTTAAGCACCAGGAATGAAAGTTGAATTTTCTTACTCTACTCTGGAAAGTCATTGGAGGTACAAATGAGAGGCCATGCTGTTGACCTTGAACATCTGATGAGAGAGATGCTGAAGAGAGCTTGGACAGACGAGCGTGTTGTCCGGTGGCCTCCAGGTCGATGACGAGTCGGTCGTTTGGAGAGAAGGCCGACACGTGTTCTCCGAGGGTGACGTGATGATGTCGAGGGACCGTGCGCGACAGAAAGAGAACGGCCAGGAGGGAGGCGTGCAGGGCCCGGGAGGCGTAGGGGGCTGTTTTGAACTTGGTGGTTTCTGAAGGTGTCAGACCACGTTGCCGCTGAACTCACCAGTGAGCATTTGGTTTCGACCAAAAAGTCCAACAGCCTACTTTGGGAACGTATTGAGGCGTTGAGTCAACCTCTTTAAGAATACGAACATTGTGCTTTTCAGTTCTCATTTCTGGGGTATGACTTCAGAGTTTGGTTTGGTTTGGTTTGATTTTTTATAAGAGTATAATAATCACTTGTGTGTATGCCTACATTTATGTGTCTTTTTGCATCTTTTTGGTAAACATCATTTTAAATTAGTCAGTCATTCATTAGCATTTTCAATAGGGCTCATAAGTCCAGTAGATACGGGTAGTCAGTTGACGAAGATCTGGTTTACAAGAACTAATTCAATGTTTCATTGCATTTTTGTAAGAACACAGAATAATTTTATAAACCGTTTGTAGTTTATAATTGCCGGAAATAATTTAAAGACACTTTTTTCTGTGTGCAAATGTGTGTTTATGATATATTTTCTCCTTTTTTTTTTTTTAGACACTTGTTTAATAGCTAGCTTTACGATATGCCAAAACAAACGAAAACAAACAAAAGGATTTTTCCCTGACCCAAGCGGTGGTCCACCCCTCCCTGCCCCATGCTTTGGGCCCTAGTTTATAACAAAGGGATGGTGATTTAAGAAGTAGTTCTGTATCTGCAGTATCTTGATCTTTCAGGACCTTCTGGTTGGGAGCGGGAGTATCTTTTCCTGGTCATTTCCCTTTGGGGTGTCGCTGCTTTAGAGCCTCCTTGACCACGGAAACTAGCGGTGTGGCTTCCCTCTGGGCTGGTGTGGTGGTTGTGTTAGTACGGTCGGTCGACCAAGAAGGTTTTCACAGTGGTCACAGCATTCAGACGCGCCTCTCTGAAGACAAGTCTGGTGTGCACAGGCCATCTGCTTAGGCGCTTCGTATCATAAAATGCTTTATTATAACCAAGAATAGACCTTTTTAGTTTGTTTGTTTTTAAGTCAATACCAATGATTTTCCAATATAAAACAAGTACTTTTTACTATAAACTACACACGGATTTTTTTTTTCCCCTCTAAAATTGACTCGTTTCCACAATCTCCCATCAGTCTATTGGCCATGTCTACATAACTCCATGAAATTCTTACCACTGGAAACTGGGTGCACTAAGCAAAAGTGAGGTCCAGAAACAATTGTTTTGTTTTCACCTCTTCATTCAGCTGTTTGGCATCGCGCAGACACCTCCCCAGGTGGATAGCTGCCTGGTGGAAACACCTGTGTGCTTTGAAACAGAGGTTGAGGTGAGAATGGCCAGGGTTTGTCTACCTCTGGGACAAAAGTCAAACCAGATGGCATGATGGGATGGATGTTTCCAAAACCACGTTTTCTGAGTTTCCTTGTTTTAAAAATGTTTTTTAAAAAAGAAAACTTTTTTAAAAAGGTTATTAAAAAAACATGGCCAATTTATTACATGAAATGATTTTCTGTGTATGAATTATTCCTAAAAAAATTTCTGTGTTTATATAAAAAAAAATCCGTAGATGAAAAAATTTTTCAAAATGTTTTTGTATATTCCGTTGTAAGAAACTGTTCCTGTTATTGCGATATACTCTGGATTCTTTACATTATTAAAAATTTTTAAAAAAACTTTGTCTATTTTGAATGGCTGAAGCTAAGGCAACTTTAGTTTCTCTTACTCTGCTTTTTTCTAGTAGTTGAAGTACTACACGATTTAAGTTAAAATAAAGGAATTCTGTATGTATCTGTCGTCTTTAATATTGTCTCCATCCCCTTGGTGCCCTTTTGTGAAGGGAAGCTGGGCTTCATGTGTCCACACATGTCAGCATGTGTTCTCCTTGAAGGCTCTGCTGACTCCCGACAGCTGAACTTCCTCAGTATACAAATTGCTGGTGAAGACCGGAAAACGGTTCGTACACACACACACACACACACACACCTCTGAACAACCCGAAGAACATTTAAAATACATAAAATGTTGAAATTCATGCTTTATTTTTGACTGATTCAGAAACTTGTCCCCTATACCTGCCACTAGTAAAGGTCAGGCCAAGGTAGCTTTGAGCTGGGTGACTGCAGGACAAGAGACTACTCTTCACACCTACGGCCCTGGGCTCCTCCCAGGTACCATGCCTTACTCCAGGTGGGTCGGTGAGGCCCAGTGTGGCAGCACACCGCCCTGGACCCGTTCCAACGTTTTACCTCCTGGTTGACCATCGGAGATGGTGGTGGCCCAGTAAACCCTTCAGCCCAGGCACAGTTAAGGCTGGGCTGTGACTAGACAGCACGGGCAGGTCACCCAAGAAGCAAGACAAGCACGGATTGCGCTGTAGGGATGAGGGAAGGCCAGGTGAAATTGTTCGCTTCAGAGTAGTCAGTAGGCATAAGTAAGCCCACAGTTACCTTGCTGCTGCCATCTGCCAATGCTATACAGCTGCAGGAAACAAGCCGTGACTTCTAGAATCGGGCCAAAGACACGTAGATAAAATACCACGAGAGCAAGCTCAGATGTTGTCTGTCCCCGGGGGAGAGCTGGACAAATGGGCTCAGCATGGATTTCACTTACTGAGACCTCCTATCACCCATCCATTTATAGTGTGCAAATCAACAGGTTTTAGTATATTCAAATACTGGTGCAACCATTATCAGAATAAATTTTAGATCATTTTCATCCCCCCACAAGAAACCCCATATTCATTCACTTCTTCCCAGCCCGTCCCCAACCCCAGCCTTACAAAAACCAAACTCAGCCTCCTGGCATCAATTCCAACCCATAATGATCCTAAAGGGCAGAGGAGAGCTGCCCTGGTGGGTCTCAGGCTGGGCTCTTCGTGGGAGGAGTGTCCGGTGACTTTGAACAGCCAAACGTGGAACCACTACGTGCTCTGCCCACCCCCCTCCCCAAGCTTTACTAACCACTGATTTCCTTGCGGTCCCAATCGGTTTGCTCAGTCTGAGCTTTATAGCAACGGAATCGTACAACGTGTGCTCTTTTGTGAATGGCTTCACTTTGTGAATTTCTAATTAGGCCCTTAAGTCATATGTTTACATTTTTATTTCAACAATTGTATTTCTAATTCCTTTACATGCTATTAACGCCCCTTCCACGTGTGCCTAATCATTTGATTGCCTGTACTCAGCTAATTGGTGGTTCTGCTAGGTAATGAGAAACAGAACCAGCGGGTGGGCCCAAACTTGGCCAGGTGAGCTTAATTCAGCCAATGGGGTCAACCCTACCGCCGACCCCGCCTCCCAGTGGAAATCCCTAAAAGGCTGGAACCTCGATATCACAGGCCCCCGTTTCTCCCTTTGGCTGCTCGCCCAGGCCACCACGTGAGGGTGTGTGCACCAGAAGGCTTCCTGTGTTCAGTTAACTGTAAAGTCAGAAACTTCTATACTTTACAAAAACCCACTTGGATCACAAACCAGGCTTCGGAGTGAATTCTTCCTCACGCAGCCAAGAACCGAGGTATTTCCCACCTGAGGAATCTAGCAGTTTCATTTTTGCTTTATAAAATATTCCCTGTGCAGGTTTTCCATTTTCTGATTGTTCTGGTGGGTGACCTCCTTGAGGCCCTAAATGCTGCTTCTGACTTACGGTAGTTTGTCTGTCTGTGTATTTGATGGTCTTTGATTGGAAACCCACGTTTGGATGGTCTTAATTTGTGCAAAATTCAAGGTTTGAATTCCGAAGATACATTTTGCATATGTTTTTGCTGGGAATAAACGTAAAAACTCACGGCCATGGACTGGCTGCCAACTTCAACTACCCTGTAGGATGAATAGAGGGGCGCCAGGGAGTAACTCCCCCCTTGATCTTTGTCCTTGAAGAAGCCTGGCTTACAGCAAGCCATGGGGTCATCTCTACCCCCGTGCTGCCCATTGTGTCCACTGTGCCATCGGCCCTCTGCCATTGGTCTTAGGTGCCTTTGCTAATCACTGCTCCCCTTCGGCTGGACTCTCGGTGTGTCTGTCTGCCGATATGTATGCCTGGCTGCTTCTCAGAAGTCTCCTTTACCGTTGGCTTGCTCCACGCCGAAGATCAACCTCACTGCCACTGAGTGGCTCCCCACTCCGACTGACCCTTCAGGGCGCAGGCGAAAGGCCTCGGTGGGCTTCCCGGACTGTGGACGTTGATGGCAATAGAAGCCTTGTTCCCCAGCTGGTCTTTCAACCAGCTGACCAATTATGCCATCAGGCTCGGCGACGCATCAACGTTTGGTCGACTCTGGTTCGTCTGCAGATGAAAGACCCCCAAGAGCATCTGATTTCCATCCATCCCCCGTCGTCGTCGTGGCAATCTCTAGCCGGCTTGCCCTCTTTCTCGTTGAGTCGGAACCCTCTGGTGTCACCCTCTCAATTCATGCACGCCCTGTGTGAAGCTGCCAGAGTCCGCCTCCGTTTGCCTGCAAGTGAAAACCCTTTCGAAAAGTATTACACTGCCCGCCCAAAAGGGGGGTGGTCCAGACCCAGGCCGTGATGCCTTGGAAGGAAGGAATGATGCTCTTCTTCCCAAAGTTCAAGGCCATAACAACCCTGCGGAGTGCTGTTCTGCTCGCCACTGTCGGGGCCACCAGGAGCAGGAGTTCATGTGCGGACCATTCACGACACAGTAAGTTCTTTTTTTTGCATAATATGTCCCGTGCAGTTCGAAGGGCTTGTCATGCACTAGTGCCCATCCATCATCATCATCCTACAACGTCCCCATTTTGTAGAAAAGGAGATAAAGGCACAGAAATGGAGGACTCAGGTGGTTTGCCGAGCCCCGCCGTTTACACCTCTTGGAGGTAAAACTAGGAGTCTGGATCTTTGGCAGGAGGGAATCAGAGCGATCTGACAGGCAGGGAAATGCCTGCTTTCCATCACCAGCTGCCTTCTACTTAAATCTGACAGATGGGAACACCATGTGGGCCAGCGTAGAGCTGTGATCTAACAGAGGTAGGCAATTGATGGCCAAATGTGGATAAACAGTAGACCCTGTGTCAAATCTGGTGACATACTGTAGGGATTGATGCCAGTTGCCTCAAGGAGTTGTGGGGCAGGTCAACAAACGACATGGCTGTCTGAGGATGTACTTGTTCCTGGTCGGCTACTTTCTTAAAACGAAAGGTGTGTTGTTTGTAGTAATACTTCTTTTACTAAGCAGTAACCTTGTGCTGAGCACTATGCTACGTGGTTTACATTCTTACCTCTTGGGATTGTCAGAAAAACCCTGGGGCATCAGCACTGTTATTTCCCTGTTAGGACTGAGGAAAAAGAACCGGGGAGTAACCTGGAACAAATTACCCATTAAGTAAGGTCAGCATGTACACCAGTTGTCCAGCGTGGAGACCCCAAGATGCCAAACAGACAGGAGACAAGAACAATGAGCCCTGCAGTGGGAGGGAGCTGGCAAGACACTAACTGAAATTGATACCAGCTTCAGTGTGTGAGAATGTGCTGGCTGGAGATACAGTTCACCCAGGGTCTCGGGGCACCCACGTTCAAGGTTGTGTAAGCGAGGAGGCCACTACCAATTCAACACCTTCACTGATGTCTGTCTCCTGTGGTAACTGAAACGCCTTCTCTTAGCGGGTCTGTTGGGCCTCTGTTATTTCTTTCTAATAAGCAGCAGGTAGAGGTGGACTGTTGCGTTTATCTGTGGCACAGCTGAATTATTTGGAATGGCTATTCTATTCAGTCTCTCTAACTCCTACTGCAGGGGTCCTCAAACGACGGCCCACGGGCCACATGCGGCCCGCCGAGGACATTTATCCAGCCCGCCGGGTGTTTTTGCCCCGTTTTGTTTTCTATTTCAAAATAAGATATATGCAGTGTGCATAGGAATTTGTTCATAGTTTTGTTTTGTTTTTTAACTGTAGTCTGGCCCTTCAATGTGTCTGAGGGACAGTGAACTGGCCCCCTGTTTAAAAAGTTGTGGACCCCTGTCCCACTGGATGTCAGGGTGCAGTTGTTGGGTGCCATCGAGTGAAGTCTAACTCACAGTGACCCCGATTACAGCAGAAAGAAACACTACCTGGTCCTAAGGCATCCTCACGATTGTTAAGTCTGAGTGCGTTGTTACTGCGACTGGGTCAATCCATCTCACCAAGAGCCTTCCTCTTAGTGGGTGTTAACAAACCCAGGGACAAGGGAACAACAAGCGATCTAAAATCGATGGCAAGGACTGAAGGGAATGACTGAAACCCAAATGAAGGCTGAGCATGATAGTGGGACAAGAGGAAATTAGAAAGAAATAGAGAAAAGAACTAGGAGGCAAAGGGCATTTATAGAGGTCTAATACAGGCATGTTCATATGTAAATATATTTATATATAGCGATAGGGAAATAGATCTCTGTACATACATTTATATGTTAAGTATCAAGGTAGCAGACGGACATTGGGCCTCTACTCAAGTACTCCCTCAATGCAAGAACGCTTTGTTCTAATAACCTGGCATTCTGTGATGCTCACCTTCCCGACACAATTGCTGCAGACAAAATGATGCATAGCAAATGTGGTGAAGTCTAGCTGAGAAGCAAGAAAGCCTATGGAAGAAGCACACCAGCCTGTGTGATCACAAGGTGTCAGTGGGATCAGGGATCAAAGACCCAGAACAAAAAATCATATCAATGGGAAGGAGGGGGAGTACAGAGTGGAGACCCAAAGCCCATCTGTAGACAATTGAGCATCCCCTTACAGAAGGGCCACAGGAAGAGACGAGCCTGTCAGGGTGCAGTACAGCACCACGGAAACACACAGCT